TGTAATGGAATTGTGGAATAGCTGTAGTGGGACAATTACATTTAGTAAGGTTGACGTTGAAATGAACCACATTGGTCGCAGAATAATTATTATTTACCTTTAGATCTAATTCTGATGAAACTATTAAGCATTTTATGATAGACTTATTAACAAGTTGCTTAACAGGAAAATTAAACCTTTGTGGTTGATGCACTTGCTAGCTGCTAGAAAAGAACAAGCTCAAATCCGTGCATTAGCTAAAAACTGCAAAAAAGTATTGTAATTAGACAAATTACTGCTAACTATCACAATTTCTTTCTATTTTCTTCTACCAAAATAGTTTATTGTTAGATTTTCCACCGTAGAAGAAAATTCCTGGTTATCGCAGATAAGTTATCGCGTATTGTTTCAATACGTGCGATTTTCCGGTTATCGACATAAGCCGTAAATGGACACGGTAGAGATAAGGTGGCATTCAATCACTGTTGCCGATATCTACTTTAACCGTGACGGTGACTGTGTACCCAATACACGGTGATGTATGTTCTTGTACGATTATGTTCACAGATTTTTGAGTTTCAAAAGATACCTATTTACCTATTTGAAATGTCAAAATTGTAAAAAATTTTGCCAAAAATATTTTAAATTATTTAATAATTTGTGATGGGATTTTGTGATTGTTTTTCTAAAAAAGAAAGTTCAGCGATGCGTGTTGTGTTTTCTATAAAAGACCTTTTGTATACATGTGTATCACAAATCACAAAAGTACATTGTGTTTGTTTGTCTATTCATTGGACTTGATTTTACAAAGGAACGCTTTAATTTGCGTATATATCTTATTTAAAAAAAATCAATACGAAGAATACAATCATGTTGCTGAAGGTAAAACCTACAACAAGTTTATGATTTTTGCTATTGAACCTATTTATACATTTTATTTGATTCATTGAGATACCAAACTATGTAGTTTTTATAAATTTCTACTTTTTCTTTTGTGTATTTGTTACAGTGATATTTGGAATTGCTATTGCATCGATATTACTTCAGCATCATCATTGCAGAATATCAATAGTGCAATTTTTTATCGGCAGTTACGAGTCTTACGATGTCCGGATAAAGTGCCGATCTATACCAGCAGTGCTTGAAACCTATTTTAGAGATGGTAAATACTATATTATTCTTGTAACATCAGTAATATCACGTAAGGTACACCTACCTTAGATAAATAAAAGAAAACAAATAAATAAAATACATATTTCTGCATGTAAAAATAATCTTTGTTTTTTTTCAGGTACTATTTGGAATTGTTCTAACATTCAGACGTATATTGTGTTGTCTCAAGAAACAAGAAACCCATAGATCGCTGCAAATATTAAAGCCGTATTATTTTTGTAAAACTATTTTTATCTTTGTATTAATGGTCCCGCCGGTGGCCCGTGTTGCTCTATGTATTAATGTATATATTATAATTAGAACAACATTTTAAGTACCTACGCACAACAAAGTAATATTAAATTATAAATAAAATAAAATAGGCACATATTCACACTTAAAAAAAAAATGTTACCTTAGGGCATCAAAAAATTCTTTTTCATCGCTATCGTGGAGTAGGGTGCCCAAAAGACTGGCAGCATTATTCTAGGTTTTACTTATTTGTATTCATATATGTAGAGGTCTCTCCTTCTTGGGCTTGACCTGGTGAAAATGGGCACCGCTTCCCGCAACCCGCAGGAAAAACGATGCTCATAGCCCCTTCTAAATTTGACTTATAAATCTCCTTCTTTCTCTTCTGCTGACTACTTGACTACTAACTGGGTGTAGTTTGTGTGCCAGATGTGGATTGTGAGCTTCATGTGATGGTTGACTGAGTGGTATGTGGTGTTTGCGCTTGAGATGGTTGTAATTGATCGGAATCTGGAATGTATGTGACGAAAACTGTGTCTCCTAGTACTTTGCTAAGAATGATTATTGTGTGAATGGTGGCTAATGTCTATTTATGTTTCTAGTTTGTCTGTGTATCTGCTGAGGCTTTTGGCTAGTACCTACTCCTGTGGCTACAATTACTATAGAATTAACATGCGTTTCAATATTTCAAGGCGTCTAGCCTTGAGTTGTGTCTTTAAAAAGTGGTATTTACTGAATTTCTTTTGCTCCTATGTTGTAGTTATGTCAAAGAGGTATGTGGTGTTGGATGTTTTGTTTGTGTATATTATGTCCGGTCTGTTGTGGGCAACTGTGAAGTCTGTCTGAATTGGGATTTCCCACATTATTTTGCCTGTTTCATTTTCATTTGTATTTATAATAATAATATTACTTTGTTTCATTATAATGTTATAAAAATATTATATTTGAGGATAGGAAAAATCTGTAGTTGTTTAGGAAAAATGACTGTAATATAACTAGATATAGGAAACGACTAAGTCAGGCATTATTAGCAACTAGCAAAAAAAAGTACTAAAAAATTGAGACTGACTGAGAGGCAGACTGAGACTTATTTTTAAGCACCTTAAAAAATAATAATAATGAAAAAATAATAATACCTAATGAAAAAGCTAAGCTCGCCTTTTGGCTGTGGGTGAGTGGGAGTCGGGGTTATGGCTTCTTGCTTTACCTTCGTCTAACCTTTGTTGGACGACACCACGTTCCGCGCTGCAATTTGTTTAAGGCTTGGAGCTTCATTTTGTTCACCTCATCGTTGTCGTTGTGGTGAAGTTGTCAACAGCCTTGGACACCACGGCTTGTCATGTAGCCGTAGTGCGGGCCGTTTTGCTCGACACGCAAGTATTAATGACATAATTCGTCGAGCTCTTGCCTCCGTTGGCGTGCCAGCTACTTTAGAACCTAATGGCTTGGTACGCGACGATGGCAAGAGACCCGACGGTATGTCATTATTCCCTTGGAAGATGGGTAGGGCTTTAGTATGGGACGCCACTTGCGTTGATACTCTGGCACCATCCCATCTTCCAAGCTCAGCGTGTCGAGCCGGTGCTGCCGCTGCCGCTGCCGAGAACCTCAAACGGCGAAAGTATAATAGCCTGATTGGCAATTATGCTTTCGAACCGTTTGGGGTTGAAACTTTAGGGCCGTGGGGCCCAAGTGCACATCTTCTTTACAAAGATATTGTAAGGAGGATGGTTGACACTTCAGGTGATCGAAGGGCTGGCTACTACCTTGGGCAAAGGTTAAGCATTGCCATTCAACGTGGCAATGCTGCCAGTCTTTTGGGCACCCTACCTCACGGTAGTGATGAGGAAAATATTTTCTTTGATGCCTTTAAGCACTATATTTTTCGACATTATAATAATAAGTGCGACTGCCGGGCAAGGGGTCTCGGGTTCGATACCCGGGCCGGGCAAAGTATTACTGGGTTTAAAAAAAATCTCAGTAGTAGTAGAGTAGTCTGGAAATGTGCCCGGTATATGGCAATAGGCTCACCCCCTATTACATGGGACTTATAACATAAATAGTGAAAAGTGGGTGTTACATTGTACAGTGGCATTGAGTGCCGAAATGTGCACCTCTGCCTACCCCTTCGGGGATAAAAAGGCGTGATGTTATGTATGTTATGTTATGTAAATTGTATAATAATTTTGTGTTTTTGTAAATACTGTAAGCGATTCAAATCGATGGTAAAATGTACTACAATTGTGTAGGTATTACGGTTAATTTATATCATTAGATTGTAAACCACTGTTAGGTACTGTGTAAACAACGGTGAACAGTAAATATTTTTAATTTTAGTTCTTTGTGGGATCAATAATCAAAAAAATAACTAATTCAAATAAATTTTGAACGACATATTTATATCTGAAATTTGTAAACATAAAATTAAAAAGAACTAAAATTTGAATTATACTTTGAACAAATCTGTCGTCTGATATTTCCCTACTAGCTGATAATTTTTAAATTTTAATTTGTATTTACTGTAAAATAAATGTAATATTGTAATTAATAACTTCTTTGATTTTGCAGCTACCAGACATAGCTAATTCCAATACTACCTTCAATGTACCAACCTGCAAGGTGCATTGTTGGTAGTATTGGCATTAGCTATACTTAGGATTATCTGTAGACATTAGTAAAAAAAAAAATATACTTGGATTCAATTTTCAGATGGCGTTTCAAATTGATTGGCATAAATTTTGACGAGTGGCAACTCTTTACCCCTATACTTATTATACTCTTTGAATAAAATCATGAATGAACCACAGATCCATAACACAGACAATACATAATACAATAGACAATGGAATGTATGAATGAAAACTGGTTTATGAAACTCAGTGTTGCTAGCTTAAATAAGAATAGGAGGGCTGAATAATCAGCCAAAGTGAATCTTAGTTCCCATTCTACGAAAAAAAGTGAATCATGCTTTTTATTTGTTGACATCTGTCAAATCTGTCATTTTAATTTAAAGTTGATGGTGTCAGATTTCCGCACTCATATTCCTCATTTGTTATCATTTATTTTAACTAAAATAAAACAAGAAGCTTAAACAGAAAATGCAGGTAAATCACTAACCCAAGTTTAAAATTTATTACATAAAATAAGTGTTTGATGTGTTTTTTTTGGTATTAAACATGGTGTTTATTTTTAGAATCCTAATGAGGATACAGAATGAACGATGTCCTCCGAGCCAAGGGAATCATACCTCCCAAAGAAGCGGAGATATCAGAGGACCAAATAGTTAATATGATAGAGCAGACCATCCAGCAGAAACAGCTGAAAGTTAGTATAAACAAAGTATATAGGTTATGGTAACACCTGTTGCTAATTTTGAGAATAATTAAATTAAAACTTTGGATTTTAATGTCCATTCAATAATAATTAATTAACTAATCAATTAATGTTTATAAAGTTTGCACAAGTATTATCATTTTTTCCTTTTATACTCACAACTACTCTTCAAGTTCCACTTGAGTGACAATACATACCATTTTAATAACAGTAAAGATATAAAATTACATAACTAGTTGTAGCACAGTGCTTAATCTTAAGTTTTAAGTATTAACACTTTATAGTTACAAATACCAATGCTATTCCAGAGGACAAACAACTCTCAGAATTAGATTTAGATGGCCTGGATGAACTTGAAGACTCTGAAGATGAGGCTGTGCTGGAGGAATACAGGAGGAAACGTATTGCGGAACTGAAGAGACTGTCAGAAAAGCCTAGATTTGGTGATATTAGGGAGGTGTCGGGGCAGGACTATGTGCAGGAAGTGAACAAGGCTGGAGATGGAATTTGGTGGTCATACATCTGTAAAAACAAGGGTATGTAGACGGAAACAACATAGTATCATTATTATCTGCCTGCCAGTCCACTGTTGGAATAATGGTCTCCTCTACATGAGAGGGGTTTGTCATGTTTTTTTTTGCCCCAATCATTTGCATTGATATAATTGTTTTTAAAATTCTATTAAATTATCTAAAAGTCACGGGTAAATAGTTTGAACCATAGAGGGGTTCTTCCTCATAAGCATTGTGCGCGGTCACGGCAAAAACTAATAGAGCTTTTCTCAGTATATTAATGTGAGTAACCCATGACTTTTACTTAATTTAGTGTCTCACAATAGTTATTATAAAATTCTACTATCTAAATCTGTTCAGCAGTTTCAGTGTTGAACAAATTATTTCTTATCACTCATATCTATCTTTTCCAGCATTCAGCAGTGTGCCCTAATCAACCAATATATGCGTCAGCTCGCAGCCAAGTTCCCCTACACAAAGTTCCTGAAGGCAGTGGCTCAGACGTGTATCCCTAACTTCCCTGAGAGGAACCTGCCCAGTGTGTTTGTGTACTTTGAGGGTGACATGAAGAAACAGTTCATTGGAGGAACAGAGTTGAGAGGCACGTCATTGACTGTTGAAGGTATGTAGTCAGTCATGTCTTCACACTCCATATTTTATAACCATGTATCTTCTACTATTCTAGTTATTGAATAACCTCTTAGGTATATAAGACACAATAGAATACATTGTCTCGCATCGATCTGTGTTTTGGTACAAGATGGTTAAATTGGAGTAGGCGTTCACAAAATTTCACAGTATGACAGTGGTTTAATAGAAAGTTAATAGTTCTTTGTATGATCAGGAATGCGATGGAAGCTAACTGTTATAAAGTATTTAAGGTCTAAGGTTAGAAATTTTTTTTTTGGAGATACAATTAAATTGGTGTGCTTTTGTTTGTTTAGAATTTGAATACATTCTGGGGAAAGTCGGTGCAGTGGACTCAAAAATAACAGAAGACCCCAGACCAAAGATTAAGGATAAGATGTTCACCGACCTTGGCTCTAATGACTGGTGATTATAGTGGTGATCACCATTACCAGAGAGTGAAGAGTTGGCGTCACGCTTCGGTGCGGGTTTATGTGCTTTACTTGCAAATTATTTATTTTTAATGAGTAATGAAATTATTTTTAAATAAGTACTAAAGTATTCATAAATATATCATTTTGTTTCTATGTTGTTAGAAATTATGTAAGGAACACAAAGCATAAAGAATTACTACAGAGTGAATGATTCTGTGTTCAGATACATTTAATTTTGTAGCAATTCTTATGTTAAATAGCATTTAAATATACTACAAATAATAAATAAATGTACTTACGTATAGGTATTGCATTTGATCATTATTTTCTTTTCATTTTATCACAAAAATTCTAAATATTGTAAACAGTATGTTTTACTACTGTGGATATTATTATAAAATAAAGAAAATGTTTTTAACTATTTGTTTTATTTGCATTATATTTTACAGGAAATACTTATGTCTATTTATAGTTATTATAAGTATAGTTTACATCAGAAAGTAATTCTTCAGCATTGTCTATCGAGAGTGGTCAACAATAAACAAAGCTCATTTTCTGAATGATATTACATGGCGTAATTTCAACTTTTGCTCTTGGAAAAGTCACTGCATATTAATTATTATTTATGGTACAATACCTATTGTTGGTTACTAGTCTATGAGATGATTATTGTTCAAAGTACGAACATAATACTAAAGCATCCATACTCAAATTCATTCCCAGTACCCCTATTTTTACTAAACGAAATCCAGTCCAGTCCAGTCAGAGAAAATTTGTTATTTACTTATCTACATAGTTTTTACAAACTTGGTCATAATTCATTCATTAACAAACACATTATTATAATATTTGACATACCTATTACATGACCAAAGTGATTGTTCTGATTTTGTGTCTGAACAACGTAACTCTTATGTCGTTCACACAATGAGACTAAAAATGTCTTTCTTTCTCTTGTCTCCTATTATTGAGGTGTTCTTATTGTTTTTCACACTTAGATTTTTCCTTAGTCTGGTCATACACAATACTCAAGTTAACATCCTCGATGTAAGTTAATGGTGGTGACACACTTGGCGATGCAGGGCTCCACGGGGTGCCGCGACTTGAGTCCCAGCTCGAATACTCGCATCAGTATCTTGGCGGCGTGCTCCTGCATGCCCACTAGTATATCTGGTAGTTTGTCCAGCAGTGATTGCGTCACTTCAGGCTGGTGAGAGTCCAGGCACTCCAGTACTGCTTGCAGACCTGCAGTAAGTGAAGGAGTAAGTAAATCATTGTAAAATGAGTCGCAAATTGTGTTGGTTAGTGTAAAACTTGGGAACAGTATGTGCATGATTCGTAAAGTTTTGGGAAGGAAGCACATTATGTATGAAGATAAAAATTTGATTGGTGGTGAAGGGTGATGACGGAATAAAATTTTTTTGGAGATTATGAACTAAGTGTCACACATGAAATGAAATTATTAGACATAAATTGGTGTGTGTAAGTGAATGCGTAGAAGCCAGGCAGCGTACCGGGCGTGGTGTCGGTGACGGCGGGCAGTAGCTTGGCGAGCAGCGAGAGCGCGGTGTGTCGCAGCGCGGCGTGCGGCGCGGCGGCGTGCGGCGCGGCGCAGCGCAGCACGTGGCCCGCCCACACGCCGCCGCCCCACGCGCCGCCGCGACGGGAGCCCCACGCCTCGATCTCCTGGAACGGGACATAACGGGATATTTTTATTTTTTTTACTAAACTCCATGAATTTGCTGCGCAGACGCGGCGTGTTTGTTGTGTGCTGATAACGTATTCACTGCGCAGCTGTTCCACTTTGAAGATGTAAATAAATCCCTTAATGAAGATTGCTCGCCGGATCGTATCATACATACAAATTGTCACGCCTGTCTCCTATTGGCGTAGGCAGAGACAAAAGAACACCAAACGACACGATTTACCCATACCTCTTTCACTTCATCCTGCTATAAAATAATGTAATTGATTGAAAACTTGTATACATAGATATACAGACCTGCAGCATCCAGTGCAAGTTGTCTGGAGTGTCGCACCGTCGCTGCAGGGCCTGCAACGCTAGCGGGGGCGGCGCCGCCGACGCCGGGCGCTCACCTCCGCCGCCTGCAGCGACGACAGCGCTGGGGTGTTGCTGGAGGGAGAATGAAGATAAATAATTAATAATGTTGCACTGTTCACTTAAAACAATACATAAGGCCGAGAATCACTAATATATAGCGATATACAGTGTCTTCCGGCTGGTGATGAGGATGAGTTCGTTAATGTAATACAAGTAAGAAGGTTTCCATTTCTTCATCACTATCAAACAAAACACGCGTGTTTTCTATACATAATTTACGCAATCCTCTTAGTACTATGAAGATCCTCTCGCCTCTCCCGCCTGGATGAGGCGAGAGGAAATGTCAGACTCTTACTGACTCAAAACTACCTTGTTCGTACTCCTGCACATCGACAGGGCGACTTAACGGCAACCCGTTAAGTTCTCCGCGGCTCTGTATCGGGTATCAGTCTTATTTTGGCTCCATCCGTGGTGGTCTGATGGCTCTCTGAGGCGCGCGCGGAACGCTCGGCGCCGTACGCTCGGGTCTGTTTCTGGTCCGACAGCGGGCGAGCTACCCATGCTCGCCGTCCGCAGGCCTGTGCTTACAGTACCATAAAGAGTATCATTCCACATCAGATAGCTTGCGTCATGTACTCACGCGATAGTGTCCTTGTGTTGGTGCAGCAGGGCCCCGGCGAGCTGCGGCCTGCAGGCGAGGTAGCGGCGCAGTATGTACTCACGCGATAGTGTCCTTGTGTTGGTGCAGCAGGGCCCCGGCGAGCTGCGGCCTGCAGGCGAGGTAGCGGCGCAGTATGTACTCACGCGATAGTGTCCTTGTGTTGGTGCAGCAGGGCCCCGGCGAGCTGCGGCCTGCAGGCGAGGTAGCGGCGCAGTATGTACTCACGCGATAGTGTCCTTGTGTTGGTGCAGCAGGGCCCCGGCGAGCTGCGGCCTGCAGGCGAGGTAGCGGCGCAGTATGTACTCACGCGATAGTGTCCTTGTGTTGGTGCAGCAGGGCCCCGGCGAGCTGCGGCCTGCAGGCGAGGTAGCGGCGCAGTATGTACTCACGCGATAGTGTCCTTGTGTTGGTGCAGCAGGGCCCCGGCGAGCTGCGGCCTGCAGGCGAGGTAGCGGCGCAGTATGGCGGACACGCGGTGCAGCAGCGGGCTGGCGGCCCCGCCGGGCTGCGAGCGCGCCAGGGCCAGGAAGCACTCCAGGATGCTGTGCAGGTCTGCAGTGTTGGTGGGCGCGAACAGCTCGTGGTCGGGCAGCACCTCGAGCGCGGCCAGCACGTGCGTGTGGTAGCGCAGCTGGGGCCCGGCGCCGCGCAGCAGGGCGGCGGCTAGCCCCAGCGCGCGGGACCCCGCGCCGCCCACGCGCGCCCACAGACCTCGGACTTCTGCTTCCATGCGCCACAGTCTGCAAACATTATTTATTATTTAAGTAGTTATTTATGAATAAATATCTAGCTATTGCTATCATTTTCTTTGACTTTTTAGTTTCCAAATCGTAAATTTGAAAAAGAAAAAAATATGGATGTAAACACTACGTTCTTCTAGTAAGTATAAACATGATGACTTAAAATTTACCGGACGGATTTTATTTTATTATTAGCAGTAAGAAGTGATTATTTTTAAGGAAAGTTTAGATGGATGGATGGATATTTATTATGGTCTCCCCCCGCGCGAGTAGTAAGTTATCTCGTACTTCTGGTTGTAGTCCTTGGAGTGCGCGGCGGGCGCGGCGATGGCGGTGAGCAGGGCGTGCGACACGCGGTCGGTGGCGCTGGTGGAGCTGGCGGCCGCCCCCGCCACCGGCAGCAGCGACAGCGGCCGGCTGCGCGGGCCCGACTGCAGCACCAGCGGCAGGATCTTCGGCACCTGCAGGGGAATTGTGTTCAAATTTTTATTTAAGAAAAGCTTTTCAAGTTAACAAAAATATGACATTTTCTTTATGGGATTGGGCGGCAATGAATAAACGGATTACCTGATAATAAGTAGTCCGTGCTGCCTAAGAAACGCAGCACAAGAGGAGTTATTAATTTTTTTTTTAATAGGAATACGATAACGGATAACGTGGTTTTGTCAGGAAGAGTTTGACACGTTCGCCTAACCCAAGGCGGGAGAAGTCATTGAATGATTTCCCCCCTTAAAAAAGAGGGGTTATAACTGGGTTTTTGACCTTTTAGGGTTAAGAATTTGTAAATTTTTCTAGACCAATCTCCCATCCTCAAAACCGCAGGGGGGGTTTCGTTTTCGGTAATATCACTCATTCGGCTGGACAGAATATTTCGGTTGTATCACTCAGGTTTTCTATGAAACTCTTGTATCACTCTGGTCGAGCTGGTATAGCGGTATCGAAGCACGGTAGTCGTACTCGGACATGGTCTCCCGTCCCCGGGCCTACCTTCATGTACAGCAGCAGCAGCAGCAGCGGGTCGTGTAGCTGCGCGGCGGCCGCCACGGCCAGCAGCTGCTGCGGCGCGGGCGCGGCGCGCAGCAGGAGCCGCAGGCGCGCGTCGGCCCGCCGCCGCGCCGCCTCCGCGCCGCCCTCGCGCTCCACCGCGCGGACCTCCTCCGCCACGTAGCGGACCATCACGCCCAGCTGGAACGCCATATACACATTTACACGGAATGACAATTAATCCGAACGTTAAGGGGAATGAGAAATCAAACCCATCTGCTACAATCGACGAACAAGGCAAAAAACAAAATCAACCCTGGCAAAACGATCAGGTTCCTATGAAAAGAAAAGCTGATTCTAGCCCTCAATCGGTAAAGAAATATAGCAAGTTAAACAAAACAACGTATGCAGTTACCACAGAAAACAGATTCGAAATTTTGGAGTCGGAAAATAATGACGAACCCAGTCAACAACCTAAGGAACCTAAACCGCCAAAGCCAGAACCCATATTCGTCACTGGAGTCATAGATATAACGAAACTAAAAGAACTCCTGTCCTCAATTGCAAACGCAAATACACTATAACAACTCTGAGGTCAGGACACATAGTAAAAATAATGCCTGGTGACGTAGACACTTACAAAATTATAAGAGATAATTTTATAGAAAACACGACAGAGAAGTCTCTGAATATTTAGACACACCAATGCAGATGAGTCTACCACTAAATAGTGCCAGCCCCAACGAAATATGGCGGGAGGTCTTGAAACTACAGAACGGCAAAACACCAGGCTACAACTCAATCGACGCTCAACTACTCAAGGAGCTGCCCAGAAGGGGCATTATCCACATCGCGGCCATTTTTAATTCCTATCTAAGGTTAGCTGTTTACCCGGCTCAGTGGAAAATTGCGCAAGTTGTAATGATACCCAAACCAGGCAAACCCCTCCACGAAGCAAGCTTCTACAGACCAATAAGCCTGCTCCCTGTGCTGGGTAAACTCCTTCATTTTTTCAAAAATATTGCTGAACAGGATACGCCCATATCTACCAGAAGTTATTCCTGTCCACCAGCTCGGCTTCCGAGAGCAACATGGAACCATCGAGCAGATACACCGTATTGCGGACACTATAAGTCGTGCACTAGAACACAAACAATTCTGCTCTGCCGTCTTCCTGGATATCAGTCAGGCGTTCGACAGAGTGTGGCATGAAGGACTGCTCTTCATAATTAAAAAAACTCCTACCTCACTCCTTCTATCCGATCCTTTGGTCATACCTATACGACAGGTGCTTTGAAGTGAAATTTAATAGCGAAGTCACTCAATTAAATGAAATACTTTCAGGAGTACCGCAGGGGAGTATATTGGGGCCAGTTCTGTACCTAATTTTTACCGCAGATCTTCTAACACATACTGATACCATAATTGCCACCTACGCATATGAGACAGCCTTTCTATCAGTTCACGAGGATCCTGACATAGCATCAGCTAATATACAAAACCATATCCATGAGGTAGAAAAATGGATGGATAAATGGCGTATTAGGGCAATCAAGGGAAATCTGTTCATGTAACCTTTACCCTGAGAAGACGGACTCGTCCTCCAATAAGAATTTACAATGAGGAAGTTCCTCAGGCTGAAGATGCTAAATGCCTGGGTATGCATCTTGATAAAAGACTCACCTGGAAAAAGCATATCAGGACTAAGCGTAAACAGTTAGACATGAAGGTCAGATCGATGTACTGGTTAATAGGCCGCAAATCGAACCTCTCTAACGAAAGCAAGATAGCAAGAAAGTTTATAAGTCTATCCTCAAACCAATCTGGACATACGAAATCCAGCTGTGGGGCACTGTTAGTAGTAGCAACATAGAGAAATATCGATTCACGAGTATTTTCAATGTTGTAATTATTATTTTTTTCATTTATGTAAAATCTTTCTAACCAAATCCGCTTGACGTTTACATACTAAACTATATTACTCTAGCGGAAAAAAATAAATCATTAAACACTCTTCATTTACCTACTCATTCTTTCCACGGACATACATAGTTTCGAACAAGTAACTATACTAAAGAAACCTTAGACACGAGAGTATAATCTGACCTGCTGGTAGTTGAGCCGCAGCGTGTCGTCGGGCACGTAATGTTTGGGCGTGGTCTTGTCCCGGCCCTGCCACACGCGAGGACTCTCCACCAACGTCTCCGCGAAGTCCAGCACTGCACTCGGAGACCAGCCACTGTGGAACATTCTTGTTTAGTCTCTGGATACTTGACTAATGATACCACAACCTCACAGAAAACGGCGTAAAGCTACTGAAACGTAATGTGCAGTTGTGGGAGGGAGGGTACCGGAGGCCCAAACCACCCCCCTTCCAAGACTGGCAACGTATTTATAACTCGTCTAGTGTTGTGGGTCTACAGGTGACACCAATTGCTTTTCATCAAGCCGTCTATCTGCTCGTTTGCCAGCCTAACTAACGAAGAAAACAATGCCTAATTACTGCTACTGTATTATTTACTTACCCCTCATCTTGCAGCAGCGTGGTGAGGCAGTAGTGCAGGGTCCTCCAGGACGCTCGGTGGGCCAGCAGGGTCACCAGCAGTGGCCGCCAGGGGGCGCAGCCCGACCGGAACATTAGCTGCATCTGTACCAGTAACACATCTTAGAACTATGGTGGAAAATCAGTGATGGTCTTCGATTGGAATTGAGAAGTATGGCCCGTATCCTAATACTGTAATTGTAGTATAACTACTGATGTTTTAGTAAGAGCCAGCTGGACTAGCAGACAGTAGTTAATTATGTAGTCTACCACGGGCCAAACCATTATTCATCGTGAATCTGCTACCCATTTTTTATATCTAGGAATTCCCAGGGGACTCGCATCTATATATCATCTAGCCTACATCTAGTTCAATTTTGCACCCCCCATTAAGAAATATCGCTGCCTTTCGTCGGACCGACCTGCCGATGCCTCTGGTCGCTGGGCCCGAGAGCCTCCCTCTGCAGCTCCGACATCCAGTCCAGCAGCAGGCCGCAGCCGAGGCCGCCGCGGGAGAACACGTGCGCAGGACCCGCACTACCATCCTCGTGTTTTATCTGAAGAACAAATCATTAACTATTTAGTCATTAACTCACGAAATTAAATATAGTCTTGTTTGAGCATAAAAACTTTTTGAGAATATCGTCATCATTATGTTGGAGGCAGCTAGTATCGCGCGGCTTCTTGCGACCTTTACCTGCTATTTTTTATAACGGTCCGTGAATGAATGTCCTCACCTTGGACTCGTAGTGTCCATCCTGGCTCTTCTCGAGTATGTGTGTAATGACGTCCACAATGACGCGCGTGTCCTGGCTCGATATGATGCGGTTGCCCAGAGCTTCCAATGTACTGGGAGACGCGGCCTCCAACGCTGGAAGTATAACAGTTATGGTGTTAAAGTTTTGGTTAGAACTGATTGACGGTTCCTGATCTCCAAGTTAATACTTTCTAAGAATATTTAGATACCACTGACTAACTGTAAAGGAAAACATCGTGAAGAAACCTGGGCTTATAATATCTAATTATGAGTTTGAAATTGCCAACCCACATTGGGCAAACGTGGTGATTAATTCTCAATGTTTAAGCTTTCTCCGTGTGAAAAGAGGCATTTGGTCAGCAGTGGCTACTTATAAGCTGTCGATGATGATGTCAGTACCTGCAATGAGTTGTTGCTTGTTGGCATGGTGCGGCACGTGTATGTCGAGCTCTCGTTTGACGGTGGCGCCGCTCTGCATCATACTGCGCAGCACGTCCACCACTGGGCCCGCCAGCATCTTGCACTGCATCAGCAGGGTGTCTGCCACCTGCCGGGAGAGGGACGGGGTTACAAGTGTTATGTGACGGTGAGCTTGTATTTTTGTACTATAACTTTCACGAAACGTGAATATTTTTCGGCGTCGTCACAGTTCGTAATGGCGCGCGGCGATCAGGGTGCCAAGCACGAATAACTATCGCATTTGTAATGTCATAGTAGCGAGCGCTTTCGGCGCTGTGATTGGTTGGTTCACTGGAGCCGGCCAATCGGAGCGCCACACGCGCCCGATACTATTACGTTACGAATGCGGTAGTTATTCGTGCTTGGCACACAGTAGTTGCACGACAGGACAGTCATTGCGTCGTGTGTCGCAGAAAGTTACTCGTGAATATGAGCCCTTGGCATGGCTTAAAAATAGCCTTGTCCGTCGTGAGATAGTGATGAGGCAGGTACCTGCATGACATGCGGCGTGCGATGCGGCAGCAGGGCGCGCAGCAGCGGCGCGGCGTGCGCGGGGCGGCGCACGAGCGCGGCGGCGCCGGCCGCGCGGCCCGCCAGCGCGCGCAGCCACGCCAGCACGCCGCGGGACGCGCTGCCGCCGCCGCGCCACACGTCCGCGCTCACCAACTGGACACACATTACATAACAACATTACACATTTGTCACCACGCCTCCTCTTCTCGCCGGTATTACTTGAATGAGTTCAAATAATCTTTATTGAGCTAAAGAACTACTTTAACGCTTTCCAGAGATCCAAAATAGCGACTGCTTACATGCATCACCATAACATCACACCTTAGGCAGAGGTGCACATTACGGTACTTAATGCCACTGTACAATGTAACACCCACTTTTAACTATTTATGTTACGAGTCTCATGTAATAGGGGGCTAGATTGCCATATACCGGACACATTTCCAGACTCCGTGCTACTACTAAGATTTTTTTTTAAACCCAGTAATTCTTTGCCAGACCCAGGAATCGAACCCGAGACCTCTTGCCCAGCAGTTGCAATTCCAACCACTCGGCCAACGAAACAGTCTTGGCTGCTGAAATCAGTCTAGAACAAAAACAACATTACCGCAATAAGTTCGGAGAAAGCGGAGTCGATGTCTCCGTGGAAGCTGTTGGCGGCGAGGAACACGGTGTTGAGCAGTGGAGACACTTGGTCGGGATGTAATGGCGCCGGTACTACACAGCTACCCCACTCGTCCTCCGGCTCCATCGGTAGTTCTTCTTTCACGAATAACTTGTCGTCTGGAGCGAAACAATTGAGATATATAAATTGTGAACTTGAAACTTTACATTTTCAATGACGTGACCTAATATGACTTAATACCCGTAAGCCAGTTATTTTTTCAGTTATTTCCTTTCAGTAGATAACTTGTAAAATGCTTCAAAAAGATGTTATATGAATTGTTATGGACGTCAGCTGCAGTGCGGGTGGTGGCTTGACCAACGGCAGCCATCCAAATGTAAACTACATAAATAATTGTCGTTTCTTCACAACTAGTCAAAGAACAGAAAGAGAGAAAGAAAAAACTTTATTTCACACGCTAAAAAACAAGTAAAATGTACAGATGTGTTATTCTATTAGTAGGTGGATACATGTTCATGTCCCAAGTCTGCCATGAAGTGGGTCCAGTTCAGAATGTGCAAGACAGGACGTTGCGCTGGCATTATGCCAGCTTTTCTAAGGAGACTATTAAAATTTTGTTTTCTGTCATGAAGTGGTCAACCCTCCACGGGCACCGCAGCTGACGTTCATAATGCTTCATAATAGCATAGTCTGAAGTTTTTTTACAATATATAAACTGAGAGGAAGTTGGTAAAAATTTGACGCTGGCTTACTGGTTATAAATGCGAAATGTCTTTTGTATCTTACTTTGTGTGCATGTGTTCATCACGAATTGTTTGGTGTTTCATTATTTATATTCACTCGTTTTGCCGTTTATTTTTGAGAACAATATTAGTTAATTATGTCTCTTTAGATCATTTTACAGTATGCCGATATATCCTTGTTGCAATTTAAGATGGAGTTAGAAGACCATAAGTATTAGTTACGAGCTAAGTACGTACCAGGTGGGTATGTGAGCGGCGTGAGTCTGAGCGTGGCTGCGAAGGCATGTCCACCAGTGGCCCCCCGCGCGCGCTGCACGCCCAGCAACTGTGACATGTACCCGCGTTCCACGCCCAGGCGGGACAGGGCACCCGCTGGGCATGCGTCCAGGGCTGACAGGAGCGCACTGGGGGACAAACACACACATTAACATACAGTATACGCATTTATATAATGGATTTTAGGGTAGGTATTGCAAAGTCCTTGTCAGCAAGTGGAACCTGGTAATGTTCACCGGAAAAAGTATTTTTTAAGTATTAAAACATATTCTACAAAGAATAACTTCACGCCACTTCAGTATCATGTCATTTAAATAAAAAGTTCAGTATAATCTAAAAAAACACGACAAAATGATTCAAGACCAAACACAAAACAAATATATCATACCTCATAGCTTGCACAGGCATGCCGAAAGTCTGTATGAAGAGTGCCAGTTTAGGCGCAGGTAGAGCTCTCATGCCGGCCTCGAGCAGCGGCGGCCGCGCCGACCGCACCATGTGCAGGCGCAGCCAGTCCGGCAGCAGGCAGGCCTCCGCCCCCGACGCGGTGTACGCCGCCGGGGCTTCGCTGCCCACCCATACCGACATCAACCAGGAGTACATTTCTTGGTTTGTGTCATCTGTCCGTTAACAAATACAGTTTGAAAATAGACTTAAACTCGAAACTGCGCAGACGTCGAGCAAGAGTAGCACACCGTAAAAGCTGAACCAGCGACAAAATTGACAACCCCAAACCCTTAAAAATATTCAGTGAAAAACTCTGACATCAATTTTGAGTTCGGGTATTTAATTTAGACCGTTAGCAAATGAGGCTCGTAATACTTACACATAGAGGGTCCAATACACAGCAGTTTGACGTACGCGTGCGCCAACACCAGATGCATGCGCGCAGTACGTCCGCTCGGCCACTGCACGGACACGCGCTCGTTGAACGACCACGCCGAGCCCGCGCTAGCCTCGCATGCTGCGCCGCTACGGAGCTAGAGGGAGATACTATAGCATTAGATAACATGAGATGCGTGCGCGCAGTGCGTCCGCTCGGCCACTGCACGGACACGCGCTCGTTGAACGACCACGCCGAGCCCGCGCTAGCCTCGCATGCTGCGCCGCTACGGAGCTAGAGGGAGATACTATAGCATTAGATAACATGAGATGCGTGCGCGCAGTGCGTCCGCTCGGCCACTGCACGGACACGCGCTCGTTGAACGACCACGCCGAGCCCGCGCTAGCCTCGCATGCTGCGCCGCTACGGAGCTAGAGGGAGATACTATAGCATTAGATAACATGAGATGCGTGCGCGCAGTGCGTCCGCTCGGCCACTGCACGGACACGCGCTCGTTGAACGACCACGCCGAGCCCGCGCTAGCCTCGCATGCTGCGCCGCTACGGAGCTAGAGGGAGATACTATAGCATTAGATAACATGAGATGCGTGCGCGCAGTGCGTCCGCTCGGCCACTGCACGGACACGCGCTCGTTGAACGACCACGCCGAGCCCGCGCTAGCCTCGCATGCTGCGCCGCTACGGAGCTAGAGGGAGATACTATAGCATTAGATAACATGAGATGCGTGCGCGCAGTGCGTCCGCTCGGCCACTGCACCCGTCCTATGAAGATAACCTACATTTATAATTCGTACCTCTGCATTCTACATACCTTTTGCAGATAGTCATATAATATCTTGGTGAGTGAATACAGCGCACGATGCTGTGCGCGCTGTAACTCGTGCACGTTAGTATCGTGCGCGTCGTGCACGTCGTGCTCGGTGCGCTCGCCCGTGCCCAGTACGTTGCCCATCACCTGCGCTCGTTCCATTATCACCTGGCCCAGATCCTGGTGACAATGCGTGTGGTGATTAGTTGTAGATTAAAATGATCTTTAATTCGTGATATATAGAGTTCAAATTGGTATATTCGTGATGTATTTAAAAAAAATGTAACTTTGGACATTCTCTAATTGCTCGAAAGTGCTATGTGGAAAAAGATAAAGAAGTAGTTTGTACGCGATTATTTCGTGATTGACTGAAGCGATTCTGATGCGGTTTTCAGAAAAGTTTTTGTTTCACTTACGATAATGTTTTAGTACATTAAGTGTAGAATATGAAATGAATTGAGATGACGATAGCAATAGAGTGTATACTGACGAGCACGAGGTCGGTATGGTCGAGCGCGGGCGTGCAGGCGACGTAGTGCTGCAGGAAGGCGATGTAGGCGGCCAGATGGCGCGGCACGCACTCCACGGCGCAGGCGGTGCGCACGCGCAGCACCACGTCGTCGCGCACGGCCTCCCAGTGCGGCAGCGCCCACACCAGCTCCAGCCACTCGCTGCGCACACAGCCAGTCGTTACCGACACACTCAATACGCAGCAACAGAGCTTCATATTTTTTAAATAATGTATTCATCATTTCTTAATAATTTACAACAATACAGACTAGTAGTATTTTATGCTCTCCAGATGGTGCCAATGTAGCGTAAAATCGTTGTAATGGCCATATTATAGTTATCAATAATTTTACACTATTTAATCTCCATTAGGTGATCACTATTTGATCTCCACTGGTGTTGCGAGTGTCCATGGGCGACGCTAATCGGTTACCATCGGGTGATCCGTCTGATCGTTTGCCTCCTATTTCATAAAAAAATTAAGCTATCAGGACTTCTTGCTATAATGGCAGCATCTGTTAAGCTAAAAACGGTACCTTTTATTATGTACTAAGTAATGTAAGATTTCTCTATTATGTATGCTGTGTTTCCATCTAGTAGGACATTATCTTAATTGACTTTGTTGCCGTATTTTATATGTATGTTTGATTGTATTCAGCTTTAAAAATGAAATACTCACTCGGGACCAACGTCAGCGTTGTAATCAGTTTCAGATGTATCGTCTGAAGATTGCAGCACCAGCTTCAGACCCTACAAAAAGAATTCAAGGTAATCATCAAACATTACAATACAATGTTCAATGCGCAAAACCTGGGAATCGTTTGATCAAAATATCGAGTAGAATCAATTGAATTGTTTTTTTTTATACTTAAGTAATAGTTTTGAAAGAAGAAATCATTAAAAGTGTTGTTTTGCCTTAGTTAATCAATCATTAGTCAGTCAGTCACCCCCTAAAAAGTTGGCAATGCACTGTAATAGGGGCTACCGTTTTTTTTCGTCACCAGTTGGTGTGAGTGTAGCTTGAGGTTTGTTTGTAGTAGTGCAGCAGTATGTCTGACCCTATTGGCGGACGCCCGGGTGGGCGCGTGTGTGTGCGCGAGGCGCGTCATGTAGTAGTGCAGCAGTATGTCTGACCCTATTGGCGGACGCCCGGGTGGGCGCGTGTGTGTGCGCGAGGCGCGTCATGTAGTAGTGCAGCAGTATGTCTGACCCTATTGGCGGACGCCCGGGTGGGCGCGTGTGTGTGCGCGAGGCGCGTCATGTAGTAGTGCAGCAGTATGTCTGACCCTATTGGCGGACGCCCGGGTGGGCGCGTGTGTGTGCGCGAGGCGCGTCATGTAGTAGTGCAGCAGTATGTCTGACCCTATTGGCGGACGCCCGGGTGGGCGCGTGTGTGTGCGCGAGGCGCGTCATGTAGTAGTGCAGCAGTATGTCTGACCCTATTGGCGGACGCCCGGGTGGGCGCGTGTGTGTGCACGAGGCGCGTCATGTAGTAGTGCAGCAGTATGTCTGACCCTATTGGCGGACGCCCGGGTGGGCGCGTGTGTGTGCGCGAGGCGCGTCATGTAGTAGTGCAGCAGTATGTCTGACCCTATTGGCGGACGCCCGGGTGGGCGCGTGTGTGTGCACGAGGCGCGTCATGTAGTAGTGCAGCAGTATGTCTGACCCTATTGGCGGACGCCCGGGTGGGCGCGCGTGTGTGCGCGAGGCGCGTCATGTAGTAGTGCAGCAGTATGTCTGACCCTATTGGCGGACGCCCGGGTGGGCGCGTGTGTGTGCACGAGGCGCGTCATGTAGTAGTGCAGCAGTATGTCTGACCCTATTGGCGGACGCCCGGGTGGGCGCGTGTGTGTGCGCGAGGCGCGTCATGTAGTAGTGCAGCAGTATGTCTGACCCTATTGGCGGACGCCCGGGTGGGCGCGTGTGTGTGCACGAGGCGCGTCATGTAGTAGTGCAGCAGTATGTCTGACCCTATTGGCGGACGCCCGGGTGGGCGCGTGTGTGTGCGCGAGGCGCGTCATGTAGTAGTGCAGCAGTATGTCTGACCCTATTGGCGGACGCCCGGGTGGGCGCGTGTGTGTGCGCGAGGCGCGTCATGTAGTAGTGCAGCAGTATGTCTGACCCTATTGGCGGACGCCCGGGTGGGCGCGTGTGTGTGCGCGAGGCGCGTCATGTAGTAGTGCAGCAGTATGTCTGACCCTATTGGCGGACGCCCGGGTGGGCGCGTGTGTGTGCGCGAGGCGCGTCATGTAGTAGTGCAGCAGTATGTCTGACCCTATTGGCGGACGCCCGGGTGGGCGCGTGTGTGTGCGCGAGGCGCGTCATGTAGTAGTGCAGCAGTATGTCTGACCCTATTGGCGGACGCGCGGGTGGGCGCGTGTGTGTGCGCGAGGCGCGTCATGTAGTAGTGCAGCAGTATGTCTGACCCTATTGGCGGACGCGCGGGTGGGCGCGTGTGTGTGCGCGAGGCGCGTCATGTAGTAGTGCAGCACGGCGCGCGCGCCCGCCTCGGAGTCTGCCACGGTGCGGCGCAGGTGTCCGCACAGCTCGCCCGCCTTGCCCACCTCGCCGCCCGCGCCGCCCGCCGACAGGAACTCGCACAGGCACTGCACCGGCAGCACGCTGGCGGGACAAAGTTTTATCCAGTACGTTAAAACTATTCCTGTACTTTTCAATATACTGAGAATTTCAGACAATCTTTCGAATAACATACAAGCAAAGTACTCTTTCGTAACAAGTTTTAATAATTATTTTTAAAGAAGTCGACTTCAGTTCCCCTTTTCGTTGAAGTCGGTTAAATAGAATCTAGCACCACCAATTTTGGGGTGCGGTGCCAGAAGACCTGCCCGTGGTGCACCCTGGGTGCGGACGACAGTCTCCCTAGCAGGGGTGATAGGATTGGAGTGACACATCTGGAGGAAGAGTGCGGGTGAGCTCGGCTCGCCTGCAGTAGCGGGAGAAGGAAGCCGAAGTGGCTCCGGGACTCGTAGTAAGGCGCTGGACTCGTCCAGCGGCTTGCTGGACGAGTCCAGCACACACGGGATTCAAGTCGGAGGGAGTCGGACTCAGAGTCCGACACATCGCTGGCGGAGCGATTCAGCGTGAGCTCGGAGGGCTCACGCCGTCGCGTGACGGGGACGTGTAAAAGTCCCAGGCTGGAGGAGAACATTTTGTCCCCGTCCTCCGGCGCGCAGGAGGCGCCTCTCCCCTCCGAGGACCCGCTGGTCAGACAGGCCCCATGTGGCCCGCATTGGGCACTGAAACAGCTGAACCGGGAGCTGCTCCTGGAAGCCGCTATCGTGCAGGCCTGGGTGATACCACCGGTCAAGCCTGCCGACATTGACGATGAGACCAAGTGGCTCCAGGACGCCATGTCCAGGATTTGTGACGTGGCGATGCGCCGGATCCGATCGAGGCAACAAAAGCGCCAGATATACTGGTGGTCGCAAGAGCTGGCAGCTCTACGCAAGGCGTGCACTACTGCGCGACGCTAGTACACTAGGCACCGCAGGCGCCGTCTCCATCTTCCGAATGTGGAGGCGAGAGAGACGGAGTTGTACGAGGGATACAGGGCAGCGAAGGCCGTCCTCAAGACGGAGATATTGCGGGCCAAGGAGGAGGCCCGCCGAGAGATGCTGGGGACTCTGAACCGAGACCCGTGCCGGACATGGAAGTTTCGGGAGGTACCTGTGCCTGATGGGGCTGGAGGAAATGGAGTGTTATCACTGCGACGACCGCCCAGAGGACACGGTGGAACACCCAGTGGGGGAATGCCCTGCGTGGGCTGAGCACCGCCGTCCGGGCCTAGTGCAGGTCATGATGCGGAGCGAGGAGGACTGGGATGCTGTCTTCTCCTTTTGCGAAGCAGTTATGCTAGCTAAGGAGGAGGCGGGACGCGTGAGGCAGCGAAGCGCTGCCTCCTCGCAACCCAGCCATCGCGAAGGACACACCGGGCGTCGGGGATCGCGGGACGATCTCCGGCCACCGTAAGCCACCGTAACCGTCCGACCAGAAACAGACCCGAGACTACGGCGCGTCGCGTTCCGCGCGCGCCTCAAAGAGCCATCAGACCACCACGGATGGGGCCCAACAGGGCTGATGCCGATTCGGAGTCGCGGAGAACCTAACGGGTTACCGGGGTCCGGCTCGACGTGCAGGAGAAGGAACGGGGTAGTTTTTAGTCAGTAAGAGTCTGACACTCCCTCCCGCCTCACCCAGGCGGGAGCAGTCATTCGATGATTTTCCCCCCTTACAAAGAAACTCCACCAATTTTACACATAGGTGCTTTTAGAAGCTCATACAAAAACTAACAGTAGTGCATCCCAGACACATAAACAACTATATTTTATTCTGTAATGTCAGTCTGTCTGTCTGTCTCTATTCGATAATGAAATTATTCAGACAATTCAATCGGAGAATTTGAGAAAAAATGTCATTAATTTCCTTACCTAAGTTCGAGCTGGTCGTGCCTGAGCAGTTGATGTAGCCAGGGCATGGCTCTCCTAGTTCCATGTCTCTCCACCAGGTCCAGCAGTAGCGCCGGTTGTCGACACAATAACTTGCCCAGCCTCATCTGTGAGCTCATCGCCTGCAGGGTCTCTATGATCGCTTGCGGAGGCTTCCTCGCAGGACCCAGGGGTTCCAAAGTGGTTAGCTACACGAAGAACGGATCAAAATTTGATGTTAAATTACCGAAACCATTTTAAATATGTCTAATATAACCAACACCGTGAACATGAAGGACTTAATAAACTTGGAGGACATCCAAGTCTGCATAATTATATAAAGATTTTCAAAGTATGACAGCGCAAAGGCAAACGGTTAGTGGTTAAATGAGACACAGAACTGAGACGTTGGACAGACAAGAGCGCCATGCTATCTTCTAACAGAAGTTGTAATATTTGATACCGATCTGAAATGATATCAAAACTATCATTGTAAAGGTACCTGACTGAGCAGCCTGGAGTTATGTTCATTGACCGGCATCTTGGAGTTACTGGCGGCCGCCAGGTGAGTCTCCAGCTGTAGTATGGCAGCTCGCTCCGCCTCCGCGCGCTCCGCCTCCGCCGTGGTACTGGTACTCCATTCTATACTCGGCTTGCTGCAGGGGAACAACATCGGGGCTTAAGGGGGTTTGTTCAACTAATGATGATAGGTCTTGGAATGGTCATGGGGTTACTTACTTGGTGATACACATCTCGATGAGGGCTCTGAGTGTAGGATACATGGCGGCGGCGCGCTCTGCGAACTGCTGGGGGTTATGGGCAGCCAGCATCGTCAGCAGGATCCAGCCGCGCCAGTACAGCGACGTGATGGCCAGCGCTGGAGGGGTGTAGCTGTGGGTGACACAAGTAGTAACATCGTCAGCAGGATCTAGCGCCAGCACAGCGCCATGATGACCAGCGCTGTCTGTCTGTCAATCGGTTACTACTGACTAAAGACTAAGAATATTCTGTTCCTAGTACTCACCCAGCCGGCAGTGTGATATTATCAGGTGGGTTGAACTGACACAGCTGGAAGATGTAGTCAGCTATCTCCAGCTTGTCCACCTGCAGGGGGTTCTCCTCGGCGGGCAGGGCGCATGCGCGGCGCACCAACTGCTCCACCAGCTCGAACACTTCTGCCGGTGACACCGGGATGTCCTGCGATACACGACATGTGTGGTTTGAAGAGTTAGACAATTTCCTTCTTGTTAAAAATACAGTTTAAGAGGATTTCCAACACATATTAACATATTTAGCAGATATGCTAAACAGGACATGAGCAGCAATCGGAGCTACCGTATTTTTCACCAGAGTTTTATATGATAAGCCGGTAAACGGGCAGACGGATCACCTGATGGTAAGCAATCGGCGTCGTCTATGGACACCTGGTACACCAGAGGCGTTACAAGTGCGTTACCGGCTTTTTGGGATTACCGAATACGAACATAATTATACGTAACCGATACCGAAAGAACCAACCAAAACAAACTCTAAGGCCTCTGTACAGCTTCATTTTAAACTTTAGATAGCTTTCTTTTACCCAACACCAAAACAAGAAATAAAGAAAAACGAAAATTTATAAGAAAAATAATAGAGTGAAGGTACAGCAGTGCGTCTCACCTAGTGTAGTAGAGTGTGAGAGAGACAGACGTAACTGGATGTTTCACTCACTTGGCTTACCTTGGAGAGGCCGATGAAGATGACCCGTAGTAGCGTGTTCTGAGGTAACGGAGCCTCGCAACATAACCGGTAGGTGGCGGCACGCTCCGACTCTGGGGGCCAGTTGTCCACCTTGCTATATGTTTCCGCTGGCTCCACGAACATCACCTGGCGGTAGTAGATAGTTCATTTTGTAAGTGATACAGGAAATTAGGGCTGTAGTAAATAACGGCACGGTTGGTACTGTGGCTGGGCAACCGGCTGCCGCGCAATGTGTCACGGGTTCGATTCCCGCACGGAGCAACTCTTTGTGTGATCCACAAATTGTTGTTTCGGGTCTAGGTGTCATGAGTATGGAATATTGTATGTTTGTAAATGCACACACGACACAGGAGAAAATCCTAGTGTGGGGCAACGCTTTTTTAAATAATAATAATTTGGCAGGTTTCTACTCAGTAGGGAGGCCTTAGTTTAACAGAGATCTTCCAGCTGCTGATGACGTCACGAATACGGTGGTGTCGGTGGTGGAACTGGTACCTATCTCCTTAGCTGTACTGCGGAGACAGATTCATCGACGGGAGAATGTTTCTGAGAATCTGACGTTGGTAGAGTGTAGAATTTTATCGACAGTTTTATATAGGGACATCAACACATGAATCAGAAGATACTATTAGACGGCAAAAAAAATATTAAAGCCTTTCACAACTTTTGATTTCAACAAAAGATGTATTTCTACTGACGATGATAACGAATATTACCTATTATCACCTAAAAATATTATTATACTAGCTTTTAACCGCGACTTCGTTCGCGTGAAATCCTTACTAATATTATAAATCGGAAAGTGAGTTTGTAACTACTAAACCGATTGCTTTGAATTTTTACAGACGTAAAGAAGTCCGGATTAAATAATAGGGTACTTTTTATCCCTGAAAAAATTGATATTCCCGAGGAATAACAAAAGTATTGGTATAGATGGCTCTGTGTGTATTGGTCTATGTCACATAGGCTACTTTTTATCCTTTTGTGACGCGAGCGAAGCCGTGGGTAAAAGATAGTTAGGTATTCATATTTCTTGTTTATTTATACTTTTTTGTCACGACGTGTTGATTGGCGAGGCGTATTTGAGAGCTAGTATGAAACGGAACGTTTATTGTCTACTCAAGATGGCGACTCCTGTTTGTCCGTCAGTGTCATTAAAATGAATTAATAAAATGAAATAATCTCCGTAATCCGAATTTTGCGGATATAATTATGTTGTCGACTCGAAATCGATATTTTTTTATGTTTTGTTAAATTGGCGATATTATTAATATCGATTTTATTCTACAACTTTACCTTGTTCAAAGCGAGTTGGTAGTCATGTCTGGTAGGCCGGTAGAGCGGCATGGCAGTGTCCAGTAGCCAGCCGAGGCGGAGGCCTGGATGACACAGATCTGCTGGCGGTACTCCGGCAGGTGCTTGCTGTGGGACGCCGTCACCAGGCAGCAGCAGCAGAACAGGTCTGCCAGGGACGAGAACGCACGCTCTCGTACCTGGAACAAGTTAATTGGTGAGGAGTCGTTCTTTAATTTGAAAAATGATAATGACAAGAAATGTGGTGATATGTGATGATGATGATTTTTTTTATGCCTAAGCCGGTAAACTGACAGACGGATCACCTGGTGGTAAGCTATCGGCGTCGCCCATGGACACCTGGAACACAAGAGGCGTTACAAGTGCGTTACCGGCCTTTTGGGGAATTAGGAGTTTGAGGATCGTTGGGGAATCAGGAATTGGGGAAATTGGGGAAGGGGAGGGCAATCGGGCCTCCGGTAACCTCACTCACACGACGAAACACAACGCAAGCGTTGCTTCACGTCGGTTTTCTGTGAGGTCGTGGTATCACTCCGGTCGAGCCGGCCCATTCGTGCCGAAGCATGGCTTTCCCACACTTGATGACTGTGATGGACAAGTAATGATGAGTGTGATGACAATAATGTCGACAATTTAGAATCTTCGAGCTTACTTCTTGCGGCGGTTCGTGTGGCGGAGGCTGCGCCAGCGCACGCGCCAGCGGCAGTAGTGCCTGCGCGTCTGCGCGCGCTGCACGCACCACCTCGCGCGTTAACGCGCGTAGCGGACGAAGATAATCTTCTGGCCGGAGAACTAACTCCTGGAAATTAAATAATTTGCGATTAATATATAGAATATTTCATTTCTCAACACAGTAAGGTATTTTAGGTTAAGAAAATGTTTCTTCCAAACTATAAGTTTTTTACACAAAGCTACATATCAAATTACAAGAAAACCAGTTTATCTTGATCTCGCTTTGTATGACTTTTCCGTACATTCAACGGTCAAATTACACTGGTATACATAGTTTGATGTGTCGCTGTATATAATTATAATAATTACTTGGTAAGTGTCTGCCATGGCGGGGTACTTGTTGCGGCTGCGCCTGTATGAGCGCGGCCAGCACCGCCATGTTGTTGGGGGACCGCACGTTGGACAGCTCGTTGTAGATCGTATGCGTCACTACGCTGCGCAGGAGTGGAGGGCTGTCCGACACCATCTCTCTGGGGGAACATGGGAACAGTTTCGTTATATGCGGAAAATAATGATAAAAAACGCTTTATGCTTTCATCAAAACAGTATATAGAGTCACGTGATGTTTCACTCAGACAAATAACCAACAGCATAGTATATAGACTCTAATGCTTGATTTCACCAACTTTTCTTCAATTTAATGAAGCCCTTAGTAAGATCACTTACGACGGGAGTACCCTTACGCTAAGTTGCGTTAAGAGGTGGTTTAGTTTGGGGCTTGGTGAAAATGGTCATAAGTCTATTTTGCAGTACTTTGTGGCAAGGTAACACGAACGTCCCGCTACGTGTATCATCATACATAAGTCTCCTCACCGAAGACAGGCCTGGTAGGCCGCCTGCAGAGGTTTGGTCTTGAGCCTCATCCGCGCCAGCTGAGCCAGCACCTCGTGGTCCCTGGCCGCGGTGGGTCCGCAGGCGTCGCAGTTACAACACACGTAGGCCAACAACTCCTGCGCACAGCGCCACAGCTTGCCCGAATGCAGCCACGCTTCGAGGCGAGACGCTGATATCATACGGATCTAAGGGGAATTTGGTAACTTTAGTACATGGGGGCGATATTTGGTTCGGGCGAGTTCTAGGTAAGTATTTTTTTCAGATCTATAATAAGAAATTATCGTGGTGATACTGAGTTTTAAATGTATGTATAATTATATAAATACAGAGAACTTAGTACAGAGAAGATGATAATACGTACCTCTGGGAAGCCGCACGTGGCAGACAGTAGCTTGAGGAATCCCTTGCCGATAGCGTCGGGGGCCGCCGAGCGACGTTGGATCTGTTCCTTGATGGCTTCCAGGACGAGTGTCTCCACCGCCTCATAGCTAGTAGAATATCTGTAGCACGAATGTAAAAACATGACTAATAAGATTATTATTTTGATATTGATTTTAATTTTAATTTTAATTTTGATTTTGATTTTGATTTTGATTTTAATTTTAATTTTAATTTTAATTTTGATTTTGATTTTGATTTTGATTTTGATTTTGATTTTGATTTTGATTTTGATTTTGATTTTGATTTTGATTTTGATTTTGATTTTGATTTTGATTTTAATTTTAATTTTGGCATTAGTTTTATATTCTATTGCAGCGTTTTCTTTTCCTCCAATTAATTTATTGCTAATTTATTAATGTAAATTAATGCGACTTAATTTGATTTTTTAGCCAACATCTTGTATTCTAATTTTGTATCCAATTATTGATATTTTTTTTTTTTTTTTTTTTTTCTTAAAGAATGCGGTGCTCGCCTGTAATAGATTGTAACATTTTACTGTTATCTTAATTAAATGTTTGTTATTTAATGTAAGAATGTATACAATTGTTGGTGGGCCAATAAAGATAAATAAATAAATAAATTATTTTGTAAAAATGTCAGGACAACCTTAAAATTAAAATTTAATCTTTATAAGGTGCTTAGGTAGTCACACGGTCAGGACCTGGACTATCTAGTATTTAGAATAGTAAATGTTGAAAACTTTACAGAAGTTATCATCAGACCAATAAAAAAAACTTGAATGTTTCATTCTGAATTGACAAACGATCAACACCTTGAGTTTGTTTCTTACCTTGGAAACACCGAGTATTCTAGTTCCATATTATCTGGGTCTTCCTCCGCGTTGCCCATTAGAGGGGAGCCAGCGCCTGATGGAGACATAGTTCCTGTAAAGAAGAATAATAGAGTACATAGGTAATATCACTCACCCCCTATTACATGGGACTCATGACATAAATAGTGAAAAGTGGGTGTTACTTCTATGTGCACCTCTGCCTACCCCTTCGGGGATAAAAGGCGTGATGTTATGTTATGTTATAGGTAATATACCATCTAGTCATGTACCATCTATAAGTGATGTGTATGTGTTTGTCTTAGTAAAGTACCGATGGCTCATGACAGAGGGGAAAATCTTAGCCACAGGCCACGCTGCCTTGAACGCTTAAACATGTCGCAAGTCAGGCCAACATGGCGGCCCCAGTTCGACCCGCACGATTGTTTGACACGACAAAGCAAGCGTTGTGCCAGAATGGCCAGCGACTTTGTGTAATATTGTCTTAGTGTGAGTGGAATTGGCATAGCTTACCTATGTAGATGGCTTAAATCATACAAACACAAGAAATTATAAACTTGTAATATTTCATTAACGTGGTATCTAAACTTATTAAACAATTAGTAAACTTACCCAAGGTGTTATCAGTGGGTATTAGGTGTGATGGTGGCTGTTTGGTGCTGAACGCAGTCACCACATTCTCCACGAAGCATTTGCACCATGAACATTCCACCCAGCAACGCTCATTCAAGGCATCCTCAATGTAAACCTGAGAAGATAATGATGACAAATCATTAAAGAGATTGAAATTATAATTTTTTACATGTACGTACAATCGACTAAGTTGGTTGGTGGTTGATCACCATTAGGCGATATTTGAAATTCGTATGCACTCGGTGCTAGTGCCTAGGGATTGTTTTCAAAATGTACTTCTGTAAACTTTGCCCATAGTACAGAACAGACCTTAAAGACATAAGCTTAAATACCAAATGACTATAACGACAAACCTTAATAAATATATCAGGCCAGTTATTGCTCTCCCTGTGTCCAGCATACAGCATGTTACACGCCAGAATATACACAAGCGGATTTCCTTTGTTCTTGAACGCAGCTCCTTGTTCCCTCTTCAGTAACGTACAGAGGCTCTGCGTAACCGTCTCATGCGCAAACATGTTCGGTCTTATTTTAGTCAGGTATAGTAAACCCATGCATAGTATTGGGTCTGGTTTGGAACGCTGCGATTTGAGGAGACGTATTGAGCCTGTCAGCAGGCCTAACTGTAAAGAGAATGTAGGGTTTAAAAAGTTTTTAATTTGGATAGTATTTATAATTCTTGGAGGACTTAAAGCTTATAAAAATGGATAAAAATAACAATAGGCGTAGGTAACAATGAGCCAATTACAAGTTAAGGATTTTGTATAAATAAATTATTTTGGTGTGAGTACTAACAAGATTATAAAAACATTAATCTGAGTAAATGGAAAAGTGAAGTACTGAAACACAGACCATGTAGACAATATGATCACAGAGTAAGAGAAACAAAAAATAAATAAATATCTATTGCTACTTAAAAATTTGAGGCTTATACACATTTAAATATTTGGCCTATAGTTACATACCAGCTTGTCAGAGTTATGTGTGTCCAAAGCCTGTAAAACATTAGGCACCAGGTCCACCGGGTCTACTTCAAGAGATGTACCTCCAACTGCCTCAGCAGGTGAACCAATTCTCGCACGCTTGCTGGGCGGCTGACTGCCAAACCCTGAGGGTTCTCTTTTGCGTTCTACACCTGTATTCATTCAAATTCATAAAGTAACATATTTGTAAGTTTTGTTTGGGTTGGAGTCTCGGTTAGTGGGTATCCTTAGGTTAATAATAATAAATAGTATAGCATCGTTAGCAGAGAAATCTTAGGAACAACAAACAAAAGGCTGCATTTATCCTCAAGGAACAGATTTTTATGAAATCTCTGAAGTGGTGTTTATACATACCACTGGTAGAAGGTTTATGGATGTTTCTCTTCTCAGGGTCCCTGGAGACCACCACAGTGGACTTACTGCCCAACGCAAAGATATCTTGTGGGTGCTGTGGAGCCTTGCTTTTAGCTCCTCGACCCGCTGAAGGCATTTTTCCTCTGTCCATTCTTTAACCCAACATAAGTATAGTCCAGGTAGTTCTAGGAATTAGATATCAAAGCATTTGTAAGCAAATTTCACTTATAATCGCAGGTTTTATTTATAAAATCGTGCGGTCCAACACCGAGTTGACAACAAAATAAACTGTGACAAATGACAATGACAACCAACTTGACGTCCTTGAAGTGACAGCTCTGGTATATTTTTGTGAATTTGACATTTTAGCTTTTGCGCCAATAAAAAATATATTATGGAGAATAACATCAAAAATTCAGTTACAATTCCATATTCACTACTTTTGATAAGATATGTCTTATATTCGTATGTAATTCAATAATTTACCACAGCATTGTTATGCGTTCTGCACACAAAAAGGCATTGTATGTTATTATCTGCGCCATAAAAAATATCTTCGTGTGATCGATTAAAAAAATCTACTGTCAAACTTGTCAAAAGGGCCAGACAAGCGAAAATACAAAAAGGTACCTTTTTTAATTAATTTCAGAGATTTTGGATAAAATTCTTAATAAATATATAATTTAGGCGTCCGTATCTCGTATTAAAAGTAATGGCTGCGAATTTTTGTGACCCAAGTTATGTAACTCTTATAAGAGGTTATGTTGGTTTCAGATGCTGACTTCCAGGCTATTGGGTGGTGTGAAGGTAGCACAGACCTCTGTGATGGTCACCAGGAACCTGGCGGCCGCGCAGAAGGCTAATGACCCAATCCAACAGTTGTTCCTCGACAAAATCCGCGAGTACAAACAGAAGAGCGCGTAAGTTGAGATAACTTTGACCTTCCAGTTAAACCAGCTTAGATAATCATTATGTAGGAGGGTAAGAAGAAAAAATGGAGTGTGATTTTCATATCATATTGTGGTCTTTACAATGTTGATAGCATGTAAACATTGAGGCTCATGTTTGGTTCACTGTATGATTATTAGAACTGATTGTAGTTATAATAAAACCTACCTCAAAGGATCCTTACAAATAATGTAAAATGTGCCCACTATGGACACATGGATGCAATATTTAAGTAAAGTGGGTATGTTAACTTTTCTACAGAGTAATGAAAGAACCGTAGGATAATTGTTGTATTTTTGATTTTCAAATTATTCATCATCAACAGCCTATAAATGCCCACTGCTGAGCAAAGCCTGTTTTCACACGGAGAAGGTTAGAGCATTAATCACCACGCTTGCTCAATGCGGGTTGGCGATTTCAAACTTATAATTAGAAATTATAAGCCGAGGTTTCCTCACTATGTTATTCCTTTACCGTTTGTCAGTGGTGTCTAAATAATCTTAGAAAGTACATATAACTCGGAAAAAGTCACATTGGTACTTGCCGTTGGTAGGTTTCGAACCCGCACCCTCATGCATGAGAAGCAGGCGTCTTATACCTCCGAGCCACCACGACTCACATTATTAAAAGCCAAATATTGTCCAGCGCTAATTGACTTTTAGCTAGCTACTTGATCTTAACCATTAACTATCATGTAATTAATATTTTTACTGGAACTAATAAGATTAAGTACTTATCCATAACAAATTTCAGTGGTGGCAAGATCGATGTCAGCCCAGCTATTGCTAAGGAAATGAAACAGGAGTTGGAGAAGCTGGAGAAGCAGTATGGCGGTGGCTCCGGAGTGGACATGACCTCATTCCCTACCTTCAAATTCGAGGAACCCAAGCTGGACCCCATCAACGAGAGCCTCGCCAAGTGAACACCTACTTGTTAACTAGTGAATGCTTTGTCATGGTATAATTATAAGTGTATAATAAAATCATTGGATTAGACAGTCTGAGTATGTGTTATTTTCTTTGAAACTCGGTTTTATTATACTTTAGTCCTTTCATGTACCTCTACAATAAATGGCAACAAAAGTCTCTCAAAGAATGTTATGAGTGATGAAAAATACTTTGTTAGTAAAACTTGACTTACATGTTGACAAGCATCTATTGATGTATTTATTAATTATCTATTTTTTATGATTACCTGTATTATACATATACACTGGTGAAGTTTAATACAGGTGTCCTAACAACTAGAAGCATGAATGCTGTAGAGTTATTAATACAAATGAATCTTATACAATTAACTTATTTATAAATAAAAAAATTGATCAAAGTAAAGAAGTTCCTGTAAGTCATTGTAATTCACTAAATTAACCCATTCCAAACAGTATGAGCGCCTAGAAAAATATTCATAGCAATGTTACATACGTAAAAACATCTTGCCTTTTATATATACCTAGTGATTTTTTTTAAGGGGGGAAAGTCATCGAATGACTTCTCCCGCCTGGGTGAGGCGGGAGGCAGTGTCAGACTTTTACTGACAAAAAACCACCCCGTTCCTTCTCCTGCGTTAGGTTCTTATGGTGTTGTGGACTATACTGCCAGTGTCGATTACCTAGTGTTAAAGTGTGGTTTTAGTTTACTCTTATTTGACGCTTGTCTTGACGGCTGACTACCTATGTAATACGTACTTGTTGCCTCAATTATTACAAAGACTAATGCTTTACACCTTCTCACTTGCTTCTTGTTGCGCTCGTTATCTTGGGGTTAAGCTGGAAGAAATAATTAAGTATGTTCATTTCTTATAGAATAGCAATTGAAGGCTACGCATGGACCCACAATACTAAAGGAGTTCCATACATACAAGCGTGTGTGTTGCCGACTCTTTAGGGATTGGGGATCTAGTGAGGGAGAAGGTGAGATTTTGGTACCCATACCACAGTCTGACTTGAGGTTTTGGCTCGCAAATTAGAACACACGATAAGTACGTTTCAAATCAATTCCATAATCAATCTTTCACAGAGCGCGCTACATACAAATGATTTTATCCGTTCCGTGTATTGTCGGTATTCGGAAAAATGACAACATTTTCCAATTTATCTTGACATCGTATTTCTAATACAAATCTTATTAGACTTGAGTTATCAAAACACTTGACTTTGAGAATATTTTTATCTTGATTTTAACACACCAGGATTTTAGGTGACTAAGTACTTACTGAGAAATATTTAGCTATTTCCTTATAGATTAGTTTTCCAGGAATTATATTACCAAGAGAAATGTATAGTTACGTTTACTGCAATATGAGATTATTTATGATAAAGTCTTAAGTACTTACTTATGAATGTTCTCTCGACGCAGTAGTTAATCATGTGAAGGTGAACTGTGAACAAATTCGCGCCCATTCATTCGAGTCGAATCCTTTTGATGTTGACTCAGCAATCGTATCAAAAATAATTTTATACAAAAATACGCAGTAAACATCGAACCATATCAACCAATGAAGAGTTAGATGTGCGTTCTAAGCTTGACACTGATTGGTTTAATTTCCGTCAAACGCTTGAAATTTTCCCGCTAGTTTTGTGCGACGCTGTTTCCAGCCAGTCATATCGGAGAACCGGAGGGTTGCCGACGCATGACGCGTGTTTTCATGTGAATTTTGTCGTTATGGCGACCGGATTCGTGGGGTCTACGAAGAGTTTTCCATTTTCATTCGATGTGGATGTAGAGGATGACGAGCAGGGCAGGTCCACACCGAGGCTCAACAAGCGCATCGGTGAGTACTCACCATGTGTTGCATATATCGGCGTATAAATAATGTTTATGTTCGAATTGAAGGTTTAATTGCTCGGTTCGTGTAGTTTATGGTTTAATTACACTATTATTTGTTTTGCAATTTAATTTTGGAACTCGCTAATATGACCGTGGTTAACCTGCGGTTGTTTTTGAATCATTGATTGAATAGCAATAATTGAAACAACATTTTTTAACAATCGTCTTCTCATATTTTCTGTGTAACCTAAACTTATCTTGGCTGTAATCTAAAACTAACAGTAACATTTGCGGAGCATACCGTGGTGAATTACCTTGGCCATAACACGAGTGTCGTGTTAGCCGGTTGAAATATCACACTTGGTTTGTTTCAATTTACTTGACACTCATAATAATACTCCTCCGGTCTCCGGAACACTTCAATGCGGCAATATCTTGTTTTGTTGACGTTACCCGACCGAGTTCGGTTGCACACCGGTCAAGCACGGAGACTCGTAAACCGGGAGCTTCGTATTTTTCCCGGGTTACTCGATCGATACTCGCTCAGCTGACTCGTGTTGCGGACCATATAACTGGAACACATACTTGTATGAATGTATAGTACACATACACATAACATTCGTAGCTATGTTAAAATTTCCGTGTGACTGTACGTACTATGTAAAACAGGTAAAAACGCTGTGTAGTAACTACATCGTACCGACTCGGAGAGAAAAGTTTACAATCTCATTTATATTCGAGTCGCGAGCCAAGCAATTTACAGGATTACTTACCTATGCTTTCAGTCATTTCAGGTTGAGAAACTTGGAGACATTAAAATGTACCAATTTTTAATTTTATTTCAAGAATAGCCACTTAGCAAACCTTAGTCTTCTACAAATCTACTAACTACTTTATTAAAAGTAATTTTAAGTATACAACACTACATTTGTGCCTAATTAAAACTGAAAATCATTCTGAAGTTTACCTAGAATTTAGGACCGGCACATTCAGTCCGCTTTTGTCCATATTATTGACATGGTCGCAAATTTGAAGGGTCATTCAACATGAATGCAGGACGCTCTCAAAACTAGGACACACCCGGACCACTCAGGTGCCCAGGTGTCCTATAAACCCAATTATTATTATACTAGGTCACCTCCAGTAGTATTTGTATGATTTTTAAATTACCTGCCATTTCGCGAGCTTTCGTGTTGTTCATAAACGAAATTTTCATTTAAATTGTCCCAAATTAAGTGTAATCCACTTTTATATTTCTATTGTATTTCTGTATTTCTTCTAAGATTTTGTAGATTATAAGACAAGTGATCTGCCCGTGCCCACGCTTAATATGATCTGGTCGAAACATCACAGAGAGTTGTTGAATTATCTATCAACTTAATGAGGAAGATTGATTTTTATTTGCGCTTTGGTTTTGATACTCCACTGTTCGTAACAATGTATCACTAGCAATAGCAATGCATTTGTTTGCTGCACCAGAGAGGATCTAATTAATTAATATTGTCCATTGATTGCTGTCATTTTCAATCCTTTCACGGACACTCAGACCTTGTCTTAGACTACGCTGGGGTCCTTGAGCACACATTAATTCGGGCCATTTAGGAATGTTTCTTTTTTATCTTTACCCCAAACTAGAATTATCTCCTGTATTGTGTGTGCATTTACAATCATACAAGTTCACATACACATAATTCGAGTAATTCACCGAGGGAAGTGGAAACTATCGTTTTTTTTTCTTCTGCTTCTCTTATCTCTGATTCACTTCGTTGCGGGAACCCATGTTACTCATGTGACTCATGTCTCTGAGACGCGCCGGACTTCAGTCCTCCGGTGTTTTCATGATTGTATCTACTGTAGATCTTGGGTTACAGGAGTTGCAACTTGGGTTACTTGGTTTTGGGAGGTCGTGGTGGGCTTGTCCCATTAAAAAAATTTACATGACACCCAGACCCGAAACAACAATTTGTGGATCACACAAAGATTTGCTCCGTGCGGAAACCGAACTACACACTACACGGTGCAGGGCAGCCGGTTGTAGCGGGTTTATGTCGTAGAAATTGTCGGTCCTTCGGGACCTCCTAAGAATGGGCCCGGGCCCCGAATGCCCTTATGGTAAAGACGGAGCTGCTTGCTAACTACAATTTTATAGTACTTTGCTCAGCATCAGAACCTACAACTTCATCACCAAGAAACTACATCAGATACTTTACGAAATACAAAGGTATTTAATATTTTATCTGTCTCCATCTAGTCGCGATGGCATCCTGTTCGGCCTCTTTCATTGACAGACTGACATCTGTCTATCCAGCTGTCTATCGGTCGCTTTTAGAATTGATACTGGCTGATAAGATATCGTCGTTGTAATGGTAATGTACCATTCTAGATACGGAAATGGAGATGGAAATTGTTCTAGATACGGTTTGATGCGGGTGTAGTGTACTCAGCAATATGTATGGTACTCAGGCAATGTAATACCTATGTAGGTGCTTTCTAAAAGAGGTTATTTTATCACGCAGTTTATACATGTAAGTTGGTTGATGCCACAGGAGATTCTTTGCACTTGATTTAATACTAATCGAGCCAATTGCCATACACTCAAGCATGGACTCCAGGCTTCACGCCCTGGCACTCGCACCTCCTGATAGCCAATAAGAGAAGTCTCTCGCCATCAAACGTCAAAGTTTGGCGAGATTAGATATAAGGCCATACCTTTGTAAAATTGAAAGGAATAAATTTGTTTAAAAAAAAAAAAAGATGTAATTTACTGTGATCAGACGGCCCCCAAGATTTAATCCTTACTTCCTTACTAATATTATAAATCGGAAAGTGAGTTTGTTTGTTTGTTTGTTTGTTCCGGCTTCACGCCGTAACTACTAAACCGATTGCATTGAATTTTTGCAGACGTAAAGTTAGTAGTCTGGATTAAATAATAGGGTACTTCTTATCCCGAAAAAAATTGATATTCCCGAGGGAAAACAAAAGTATGGGTATAGATGGCGCTGTATGTATTGGTATATGTCACATAGGCTACTTTTTATCCTTATGTGACGCGAGCGAAGCCGCGGGTAAAAGCTAGTAATTAAATAAATTGTGTCTGTAAATGACATGACTGCAGAACTGCTTGCTTTAGTGTGCAGCTACTTATAAAGTACAATGGATGGCGTACACTAATGAATGTTACAGTTTAGCGCATAACATAACATCACGCTTTTTATCCCCAAGGGGTAGAGAGAGGTGCACATTACAGCACTTGCCACTTTTCCCACCCCACCCCACTTTTCACTATTTATGTTATGAGTCCCATGTAAGGTGAGCCTATTGCCACATACCGGGCACAAATCCTGACTCCGTGCTACTATTGAGATTTAAAAAAAAAACCTAGTAATGCTTTGCCCTGCCCGTGAATCGAACCCGAGACCCTTTGCCCGGCAGTCGAACTTATAACCAATCGGCCAATGAGGCACACAGTTTAGTGCCTGTACAAATTATCTGAGCAACCATATTTTTGTAGACCAGTTAGTTTTCATTCAATGGCTGAGAATAAAGCTTGACCCAATTTCGTTATTGGTACTTTATTTAGTAAACTGTAATTCTCACCATACGTCTTTGTAATTCTATGTTAATATAACACAAATTATTCTATTTGGAAGTCAGCCCTTGCAGATTGAAATGGGATAAGGCCTTACATATTAACTTATCTTATCGTTATTAGATACACATTACATAAATATGTACTTACTAGTCTAGTTCAGTTATTCACGTAACACAACATACTTGTCAACTGTCCTTTAAAAGTAAAATCGTAATTGTGAAAGATACGTATCAAAAGTACCTACCTCCGATATCAAATAGAATCTGTATCCGACAATATAGAGGTCACTTATTTACTTATTTATTTATTTTATGTACTAGTAGTAAGTTAGTAACTAGGTAAACGCATCATGAATTTCTTTTATAAAAAGGTTGGATTCCCGTACGGAGCAACTGTTTTTGTGATCCACAAATTGTTGCTTCGGGTTTGGGTGTCATGTGAAATTATAAATGTTTGTAAACGCACCCACGACATGGGATGGGAGAAAATGCTAGTGTGGGGCAACATTTATAAAATTAAAGAGGTACTAGACTCAGTATATCATTGAGAAAATATAAACAAAAATCGCACAATATCTTACCTGCATTCAATTGTCAGTATAGTTTATAATTATTGGTCTCCTAAATGATCGGGAAATTGAATTCGAAATGGCGTGCGTTGTGGTCTGCAAAGGCAATAACATTCTTTGTCATGTTTTGCCACTGAAATCCAGCATTCAAAACAAACTACATCTGTAACACATTAGTACAACTCTAATAACAGTCACAAACGAGCAGTGTCAATATCCTAAAATGACAAGTAAATAGAGACGTTGAACTTGGCCTGTGTTCCGTGTTCCGCACCGCCCACGCTACCTCTCTGATTGCGAGCTATTTCTGTCTGCAAACCATGAACCATCGTGGTTCCACTTATTTTTGATTAAATCCAGACATTTCTTTATTGGGAATCTAGGTTCATGTTGACTTACTTAGTGGAAAAACAATTTAGATGCTAGACGCAAGGTTTGTTGGCAAGGAATAAGCAGGACCACAGGCAATACAGAAACACACATGAATGACACGACAAATCACGTATTTTGCAAACAGTTTTTTTATTGGTTCGCGAGCTTACAGCATAGTGTAAATATTTATCTGATCCGAAAATGTTAGCATGCCCGAAACCTAGTGTTAAAACTTGCAAAATATTCGTTACCAAAAAGTTCTACCTCATTAGTTTACGCTCTAAAAGAATCCTAATAGAGTGATGACAAGAAACCATGCCCTAGGCTTTTACTAAAAAGAATTCAATAAGTAGATACAGTAAATAAAGATCATCAAAGTAGTATACCATATTATCAATCAGGGTATATTTAGCAGCAGGTCATGATGTGCCAAAGAACCGTGAATGTCCACTCTTCCAGCTATGCGTCATCAGTATGCAAGTCCAATCAGTTTGTCATCACCCGTGCACCATTGCACGCCTCTGATGATGGATAAGACGAGGCGCCAGTGAGCTATTAAATTGAGCTGATTTGCAATCTGAAGAGTAGTTAATAGATCATGATCATAAGTCATAGGACATTCAGCCAAAATCTGGTTAAATGACAGAGAGGAGCTTTTAATTCGGATTTTTGAAATTTGTCCACATACCTTATTAATACATGGCGTATACGAATATAGGCAGGTACGTATTTAATGAACATCATACACTGTCGCTCACAATCTGCATCAACTTTATTATGTTTCAATATTTGACATGCTATACTGTATTATCTGTCTATGATAAGAAGATTCAGTTTCACGCATTAAACGACGATCCAAATTCTACCTATCTGTATATCTTGTAAGGACAGCTATTTATATGCACTCAGATTTGCCTTGACTCACTGGAAAACGTCTAGAATGTTTGTTCACGGCATAAACAAGTGATTTTCATCGTTGCTATACGTAGACGGGTTTCAGAGAAATGCCTTTGTTCGAAACTACGTGACATAGATTTTTCTGAATTTGTAAAGAAACTCATTTCCGCTTGAGTCAATAGATATATAATAATAAAATAAAAACTGCGTTTAAAAAACCGACTTCAAAAACCAAAAACTAATAACAAACAAAAAGTCAATACTAAAAAGCAAAAAATAACTATTATTAGTACTGATAGGTTACCCACCCACTGATAGGTAAGAAGTCGGTGCCATAAGTTCCATACAAAATTATTCATTAAAACCTTAATAGGTATCTAATTCACAATTTTGTGGACATTAAGTTATATCATTATGATATGAGCTTATGGCACCGACTTCTAACCTATCAGTGGGTGGGTAACCTATCAGTACTAATAATAGTTATTTTTTGCTTTTTAGTATTGACTTTTTGTTTGTTATTAGTTTTTGGTTTTTGAAGTCGGTTTTTTAAACGCAGTTTTTATTTTATTATTTTACCATTTTCAGTGTAAAGCTACATATACCCGTTTTGTTACTTATAATATACATAGGTGCAAAGTCCTCATCAATACAAATTAATCAAGCCCAAACTCAAGGTAGTTACTGTATACCGTTGAGGAGTTCCCTTAACAATTACACTTCTTCATCATCAGACCCTTAATGACAGCCCCACTCTATCTAGGTGTAAAGTCCTCATCAATACAAATTAATCAAGCCCAAACACAAGGTAGTTAATATAAACCGCTGAGGAGTTCCCTCGACTGTCTGTCGACTCCATCATCAGGTCGACTTCAGACCCTTATTAAATTGTAGTGTTTAAAATTCGTAATTGAAAAACATAATAGACGCATTACTCCCCCATAGAATTTTCGAAAGTTCCCCTCGGTTTCCCTAGGATCCCATCATCAGATCCTGACTTCATGGAAATGGGACCATCTTGGGAGTATACCCTTTCAAACAAAACAATATTTTCGAAATCGGTCCACAAACGGCGGAGTACTGCGCGAACAAACAAAAAAAAAAAAAAAAAAAAAAAATCAGCCGAACATAGTACCTCCTCCTTTTTTTGAAGTCGGTAAAAATAGCACTATATCAGCGGTAGTAAGGTAGGTGCGCGCCACGCTAGTAGAGGTGAAGGTTTGTGGGAACTGTGTGCCTGTACCAACCACCACCATGTGTGCGTGTGGCTTGTGGTATTCACTCGATAAACTCCAAGTCTAGACTATAAGTTAAAAGACTCAGCAGTAAATATTTAAAGCTGAACAACAAGACGCCAGTGACAAATTGCTTGTAAACTCGTAATATAATGACACGGTTCAGCAGGTACTAAACTGTTATACCACCCATAAAACTCCAACTCATTGCATTTGAAACTTTAAGACAAGGACATTAAATTCAAAACACATTATCTTACCATCTACTCTGAAGTAATTTACACAGTAATCTTGGAGCGACAAGGCATAATAGATCGCGCGTGACGCTTCACTGAAAACTGAACGAACAAAGAGTCGAAACGAGCATCGTGCCAAGCTCAGTCTGGGGCCAAACATTGCCACAATAACATAGTGTTCATAGTGCTCAAAGTAAATAACTGGTAAACTGATCGAGTGGCTGTGTCTTGGAATTTTCCAGTTGGAAATATTACGTGACAGGTGCATAGTGTTCCATTTCGGAGTGGCTTGACGTCACAACTGGAGTGTTGCGTTAGTAATGGCCAAACGGGCCATTTGTCCACTTGCAGGGACATCTCGTCAATTAGGTGCAATGAGTCACCTTTCTTAGACCAGGTACACTGTGTCTCGTCGGTGTCCGATATTAAACAGCAAAGGTAACATGACAACACACTTTTACCGAGCGTCCTTGACACGGCATCGATTTAAAGCTTTCGCTCTATAAAACTTGTCACACCGACAAAGCTTGTGGAGCTCGTAAACAATAGTGGGTTTGATCAGCAGGTGTAATTTCCTGATAGCGTTGATGTAACGATTGATTGCTTGATAGCAACATCACCGATTTATGACGGATCACACTTGACTGTTTTAGCATGACTGGGACAATTTGTAGAACGTACAGGAGATGAATTAAGTAAGGCGTGATGTTTTGATGCGAACAATTTTGTCAAGTCATCGATGTTTTCAAACGTTCGAGAAGATGGTATGTACTTATTAGTAAGTACCTACCTATGTATGCCAAGGTGATTTTGAAAGACCACGAGATTGCAATTAGAATTGAATTGAAGGAAAATGAGGATAAAATAATGCTATTTATTATTGAGAGAAGTTAATCTGTTCGATTGTTTCCACTATCGGTAGGTAAATCTTTAAATAATGAAACAAAATAATTAGGAATTACTTTTCAAACATTGTACAAAAATTGACTTAATCGATCATGTTTTTTCGCTCAAATCGATTCCGATATATTGGTATTTACACATAAATTGATTCTGCTAGGTCTTTGACTTTGAGTGGTCGCCGGCGCGTCGCTGCGTTTCAGTGGGTGTTTGGCAGGTTTCCCGCTGAAAATAGCACCGACTTTGTTGTCAAGTCACTGACTGAATTGCTACCTGCGTCTGCGCCGATTTGACTCCTATAATTTAAAATGGCGCCAAAAACAACATGCGTATTGTTTTGAGTGCATACTTAGTTTACATACTTTCACATGACAGTAAATTAAGATAGTAACTGAAGCTTTATTAGTTCTGTAAAAATGAAAATTCAAAATGCATGCAATTGCAAAACATGCTGAACTGGTATCATTTCACGGCAGATTTGGGGCATGAACATGTATCCATCAGTTCCTACTAATAGAATGAATTATCTGTTCTTGTCACTTGTTTTTGGCGCGGAATAAAGTTTTTTTCTTTCTTATTTCTTTCAATTGTTTTATTAATCTTATAGGTTATGTTTATAATAAAACGAATCAAACAATCTCTCTGTTGACTATTTCATTGTGAAGCAACATTCAAAAAGTTGTCAACATTCAAAGCAATGACGGAAAATAATTCTACTTTTCCCCCTTGTGGTCCTTCTGTCAGTTAGACAACTCTGCTGTAAACCACAAAATGACGACCACAACACAAGATTGATCGCCGAGCAAATGTCGCGAGCGTTATCATTTATAATTTTAATTACTTACACTTATTTAATGTGTAGACAGGTATTCTTTAGAGCTAAATAATGGGGCGTAGATTGTAAAGGAAAATAATAGAGGATAATTTGTGTCTTATGTATTTAGTTTGGAGTGAGAGGACTAGATGGATGATTTAAATGAGACGCCTTTGTTTTTTAAACTTATGATCTAACTTCGCTCCAACCTAGTTAAACAAAGTTCAGAAAAAGTAATGTTAGGATTAAAATATTAACATATTTTGAATGGAGCTTTATTTGTAATGTCTATACCTTCCCACAAGTCTACTTGTATAACCTCTACCGTGCCTCTACCGATAACAGACCGAAAAACGGGCTCCTTCAAACCTAAGTCTTAAAAAACTTCTCAACCACAAAATTCAATTTTTTTTTGAGGTGGGAAAATTATCCAATTACTTCTTCCGCCTGGGTGAGGCGGAAGGGAGTGTCAGACTCTTACTGGCTAAAGACCGCCCCGTTCCTACTCCTGCACTTCGAACCGGAGCCCCGGCAACCCGAAGTCCTCCGCGACAAAATTTTATCTGAGTTGATAATTTAAGAAAGGAGCGCGATCCATCAAATGCTAACATATGGAAACACGTTCTTCAAGTGATTTATTTGTTTACTAATACGACTGATGCTAATTTACTCTGATCGCGTCTCAATCAAATGCCAAAGATTACCTTTGAAATGGACGCCAAATGTCGAACTAATATGTTGTTCACCAAAACACATCATCGTTAACATTGACATGACCGACATGGTTCCAAATTAGTTTCTATGATTGAAAAATAAATAACTTTAATAAATAAGATGACTTGCACACTAGAAATAATTTTGTTTCTATGTTTTGACGTAGGGTGTGCGTGTGTGTGTAGGACGCTTTATTTCCGATACGAAATTAATTTCCACGTTTAAGTATTGATTTTGATTTACATTTGTGTTCAGTTTCTGACTAGTTGTAATCGCTGTTCCTTTCCACGAAATTACTTTAATAACATATAGTGTTCAATCTGAAAGTTATATTGGAAATAGGAATTGGATTTTCATATTTAATGTAATGGAATTGTGGAATAGCTGTAGTGGGACAATTACATTTAGTAAGGTTGACGTTGAAATGAACCACATTGGTCGCAGAATAATTATTATTTACCTTTAGATCTAATTCTGATGAAACTATTAAGCATTTTATGATAGACTTATTAACAAGTTGCTTAACAGGAAAATTAAACCTTTGTGGTTGATGCACTTGCTAGCTGCTAGAAAAGAACAAGCTCAAATCCGTGCATTAGCTAAAAACTGCAAAAAAGTATTGTAATTAGACAAATTACTGCTAACTATCACAATTTCTTTCTATTTTCTTCTACCAAAATAGTTTATTGTTAGATTTTCCACCGTAGAAGAAAATTCCTGGTTATCGCAGATAAGTTATCGCGTATTGTTTCAATACGTGCGATTTTCCGGTTATCGACATAAGCCGTAAATGGACACGGTAGAGATAAGGTGGCATTCAATCACTGTTGCCGATATCTACTTTAACCGTGACGGTGACTGTGTACCCAATACACGGTGATGTATGTTCTTGTACGATTATGTTCACAGATTTTTGAGTTTCAAAAGATACCTATTTACCTAAATTGGGGGAATGGTAATTTTGGTTTCGCATACAGTTCTTGCATTTGTTTTCTTTTTTAAAATATAATATTGCAAATGGGTCCGCGGCGTTGGCCGTTAGACGTATTTAATTGGGAAGATTAATTTTTTTCTTACTATTTACCTTAAATTAAAACTTATTGAACTTTCTATGTGTGTGTCTGCCTGCGTGAATGATGGAAGTGTATCGTTATTCACTTTGAAATTAATTTAAAGTTCGGGGTTAAAATGCTGTACATAGAGCGAAAACACGTGTGCTCGAAGTTAGAGGATTTTAAACCTTCCTAGGAGAGCATTCAATGATGATAACAATATTTCTTTACATTCAAAATGATCGAGTTTTATTTTGATATTTTGTTATTAATGTCCTCTTTTCCTTTGTCATACAACAGCGGATTTAATATCGACACTAAAAATTCTCGAGATGACGAACAAACACACGAATGCACCTGTAGTACTATGTCCGAATACATTGCAGATTTACCGTTGTTATCACGCAATAAATCTTTACTTTGACAAGTCAAGATTTTGGTACAAAAATATTATAAGTACCTACTGGACACAAGCCACTCCATTCGGTCACCGGTATGACGCCAAGTAATTCATGATTGTCTCTTTAAAAGCTAGCAAAAATATTTAAGCGCTAAAATCTAGCTTTAACATCGTTTAGTATGGTGTGACCTACCAGTTGGTTTCAATCGACGAAAAATATCAGCAAATTTTAAGTCGATGGGTATATTTTTACAGATAGAATCATAGATTAAAAGTTTTTACTGTGTTTTAAGTATTTACAAAGAACTTTGGTGTAATGTTGTGAGTTGTGATAGACGTGTAAAATGTCCATAAGAGGCGTACAAGACGGATCGAGATCTCCGAGGATCATCACTGATTCATTCTTCGAAGACGATGGTGAGATATTTTTGTGGTTTGTCTTTTATTTGTTTTACTTGTAATCTAAACCTTGGTTAGTTGAGGGTGTAAGAGTGATTGAGACTGACAGATAGCTAGAAATACATATACCTACATAATAACAATGTGTTAAAATATATATATATATTGTCCACTAGCTGACCAGGCAAACTTCGTAATCGTACGACCTAAAGTTTTTTTCAAAGTCAAAGTCAAAGCATTTATTTAAATGAAACCATAATTTGGTACTTTTGAAACGTCAACTAATACAAAATAGATAATAGTCTGTCAGTCAGTCCGTCAGTGAAGCTAGGTGAAGCTAGGTGCTCATTCCAAAATGTAGATTCGAATGGAGAAGAACGAGCAAGAAACTCTATTCGTTACTTTTTTTACCTACCTTCTTTATACCTTCCATGGACCTCCAAAAACATTTTTAGATCAAAATTAGCCAAATCGGTTCAGCGCTTCACGAGTTATAGCGAGACTAACGAACGGAAATTAATTTTTATGTATATCTATTACAAAATGATAAATATATCTAAATCATTTTAAAAGGTGCCGAATTTAAATGCGTTTGCAATAAAATTGATACAACTGTAAGTACTGCAACACAGTTTCTGCATTGTTTATCAGAAGGATTGTATTAAACACAAGGCTGTTTTTCTCTTATTTCTCTCTGGAGGAGGCCCTCCAGAGCAAAAAATGAGCGATAGGTACTAAAGATATTTTTATAAAAGAAAAGCCTGACCTCAGTAATCTACTGAAGCAGTATAAATAAATATGATATAAATGGGCCCTGCTAAGCCCTGTACACATGGATGGGTCCGGACTCCGGACCACAAAGGTGATGACGTCATTATTCTCAGCTTTGACCTGTAAAAGAAAGACAGTTCTAGAATCTAGGCATAGTTAGATGACATTTAGCTGGTAATCTTTTGAACATATAGGTTTAAGCTGAACTTTAGTGAAAGGTTTGATCTTAAATAAGAACATGAGAGAAGGTCAGGGATCAAGATCTGAAGTAGGTAAACTGTTTGTGGGATTTGTGCTGTAAATATGCATTCTATTCGATCCTTTATTTATGTATAGACAGGGCTGCCTTAGACTACGCTGCGGCCCTTTTGCACACAATAATCCAGTGCCCTTGTGGAATCATTCTTGGAATAACACTTGGATTTTATCTTGTATCATGGATGCATTTACAAACATACAAGTTTACATACACATGACACCCAAACCAGAAACAACAATTTATAGATCCTCCGTGCGGGAATCGAACTCGTTAACCCATTACGGGACAGCCGGTTACCGCGCAACATGTCGGTCCTTTGGGGCCCCGTGAGGATGGAGGTCCTGGACACGGGCCCCGAGTAATGCTCTTATAGGAAAGACGGTACTGTGTATAGGATACTTACTAGGTATCTGGCTTCCAGGCGAATTATGAGAGAAAGACAATGAGGACATTTTTGTATTACAAGCTTGGACTTACTCAACTGGTAAATAGTTGGTGTTACTTTAAACATGACGTGTGCCTGCAGTCTGTGGACATGATACTGTATAATACACCTCTGTGTACTTCTCTGGGAAAAAGAAGCATGATATTATGTAAAACAATTATGAGAACCGAACCTGGGAGATAATAACACGAATTCAATAACAGATTCTGTGGCAAAACATTCCGTTCGTGTTTATATACTTAACACTAGAGTAAATATTGATAAGAATGTTACATAATATCCTATCTACGTGCTACTACTATGTAGTTACATAGACGTTATGTACCTACTAATACAATTTTTACGTTTTATTGCTATTTTTCATTCAAAGAGTTTTTAATCGACTAAAAACTTAGTTATTATTTCAAAAATCGAACGCATCTGTAACCTTTTTGGTGTTGCGAGTGTCCATGGGAGGATGGGAGGTGTAAATCCAAAGAGTATCCGTCAGCTCGTTTGACTCCTATTCCATAAAAAAAAGTATAGTAAGTATAGGGGAACGTAAATCGCTTACCATCAGGCGATCCGTCCGGTCTCAGGTCGAATGTCACCATACGGTATTTGATTTGGTATTTGATTTGGTCATTAAAACTAGTAATGAAAGTGTGATTATTTTTTAATATTTTATTGTAGGTATTGAACAGTCGAAATAATTTATTTTTGATTAAGGAGAGTACACAATTGCCCCTTATCATAGAACACGTACACTGACCTACCTAATTTCCATTCAAATTCTTTTAAGTGTGATCACGACATTGATTAAGGTATTTATGGAGGCCATCAATAGGCAAATATTTCACGTCAGAAGGTCCATCATCATTGTTGGTGTGTATTGAACAAATCTCAACAATTAGATAAGACCTAGATTAAGAGCTAGAATGTCAAACTGTCAGTTAATCTGTACTGCTTACACAATAACCTTGATACTTTTCCTTATCTCGAACAAACAGTAGAAATGATAGTTTGTGATGTCCATTGTATGTTAAATTTTTAACCAACGTTAAATCTAAGGAGGTATACAATTACTTATAACTTTTATTTATGAAAATAAATCGTTTTGTTCTGGATTTGAGATATAAACTCAGACGTCCTCCCAGTTTAGTTTCTTGTTTCTGAAAGCTAGTTTTTTTAGGTACATCTTGTTTTTAGTACATTTTTATTCAATGGACTGGGAGATTGATAAACAATATTTTTTTTCAGTTCAATGCTATCACGACAGATAAATAATATTACATAACAGGCAGGGTAGGCAGAGGTGCACATTACACGGCACTTAATGCTACTGTACAATGTAACACCCACTTTTCACTATTTATGTTATGAGTCCCATGTAATATAGAGTGAGCCTATTGCCATATACCGGGCACAATTCCAGATTCCGTGCTACTGTAGTACTGTATATAAATAAAAATTAATTTGTATATCATTGATCAAATATTCAAATAAATATCCTCTATGGCATGTTTATTTTGCAAAAGAAAGATAAATTATTATTCTAAATGTAGGCATACATTAGGTAGTGTTGTTAGTTTAGTCACACCAATTATATAAGTATCTGGATACTTATATAATTTGCGATACCGAATGTTATCAACATGCGAAAGACCTATTCATGCAAAATGTAGGTCAGAGTGGGAAAATCAATACTTAAATTAGTATTAGTACCTACCTAATTACTTAGGAATGTCGACTATACAATGTAATAGGATAATCTATCGGCTACTTATGTATTCATTTATTATCTACAATGTAAAAAGCACCACCACAGAACGTCACAGCTGTTAATGCATTAGGACAGGCAAAGCCATAGAGGTATACTTATTTCAAATCAACATTGCATTGCATGCAATAGGGTAGTTGCCAGAGAATGAAAATTAAAAATCTAATTAGTCTGTCAGTTAGATAATTAAAAAAAATAGACACGTATTTTTTTATTTTCTCGTATTAAATTACTATAATTAGATAAAATGGAGTTAAGTTTAGGAGTGGGAGGACGTTACGTCACTTAGTGCTACAAAATGTAGCGTATTGTGACGTCACGCGATATTTCAGATTATTATATCGTCGAAAGTATTTAATTTTGTGAGAAAATAAAAAATACGTGTCTAATGTTTTAAACTAATCTACTAGACAGACATTAAAATAAAATTTAGGCTACTACCCTATTCTAAATTGAGGTTTTGTCTTTGTGCACTGCACTAATGTCCAAATACTCAAACATCACTAAATTTAAAGTCGCACTTAAGTATAGTTCTGTGACTATAAATTCTTTGTAAAATGATCAGGGATAGCACGATATTTAAGTACAACTTTAAATAGCCTTTCAGGATTCGGGCGTACGAAATGAATCAGAAAAATTGATCACTCGGTCGAACATTGAGCTATATATGAATGAACCCCGGCCAAGGACTCGAGGCAATCGTAACAGCTGTTTAATTGAAATCTAGTAGGTACCTACTTACTTAATTTTTTTACAGCATAAGCCGGCAAACGAGCAGACGGATCACCTGATGCTTATTGCTTACAATCGGTGCCGTCCATTGACACCTGGAACACCAGAGGCGTTCCAAGTGCATTACTAGCCTTTTGGGGATAAGGAGTTTGAGAATCGTTGGGGATTCGGAGTTTCAAATCAAATCAAATCATTTATTTGCTAATATGGGTAAATTAAGTTGTTAGCACATAAGTAGATACAGTTCCGATCATATTACGCCTTGAGGCATGCAAATTACAAAATTTACAAAAATTACAGTTTTACAGTGTTATTTGGAAAAAAAAAAATCAAGTACATACATAAGTTTGGGGAGGGGGGCCTCCGGTAACCTCATTCACACGACGAAACACAACGCAAGCGTTGCTTCACGTCGGTTTTCTGCTCGACCGTGGTATCACTCCGGTCGAGCCGAAGCATGGCTCTCCCACACTTCCCACGCACACGTATTAATTTTTATTGCAATATCAAAATATGTATTCGCATTTTCCGATTACTGAACATGGTATACCTAGCTGGTTGCATATTTAAATGTGACCTATATAAAAATCCGCGCGAGTCGAGCAACTCCGCCGCGATAAACGGCTAATGATTCTGCATATTTTATAAACATGCCCGATGAAAACGTGTTTTCAGTTTTAAACTTTTTATTATTAGTGGCGCCACCTTTTGGTTCATTCTTAAACAAACATGCTTGTATCTTGCTGAGTAATCGAAGAATTTTATGCAACTTTAACCATTCGTCGCGTTAAAATCTTCTTAAACAATTATATAAACTTAAATAATACAGAATATAGGAAAATATTCAAAAAATATCAACGAATATTGTTTTATAAAAAAATTTCAGTGGCAAAAAGAATTCCTTCGAGCCGGATTTGAACCAGCGACCTATGGATATCAATGCTTATAACTCTACAGTCCACCGCTCTACCAACTGAGCTATCGAAGGCCTGATTGAAGTGGCGAAATTTTAGATCCCTTACCCAAGGCGTATTCTTGCTAACAATAGGGTG